TGTGATCAAAGAGAACTAACCAACCGCGACTTTTCCGTGGTATTGTGAAGTGATTTTTTTTATTTCGTGTCAGCGTATAAAAATAAGCTTGCCCTTAAATTGAACTTGTAAGAATCATGGATATGATCAGCACGACACCTTCCAACATCCTAACCTAGAAGTTTCTTCAGAATAACAATTTTTTCAGTATTTGGTAGGCACATTCACCATTTTTGCAAATCGGACAAATTCCCCCCCCCCCTTTGCACGGTTCTTTACAACGCCTCGTGACAATGGTTCAGTTTAAAATCATGTTTATATAAATCTTATTTGTTATTTTCAGATGTGCTTTCCACTTTACGAATATTACCACTTTTTCTGAGTCACCATGTATATATTGATATATATATATATATAATACCGATAAAATGAGTAATGTCTAAGTGAAATATCAAAAGCCAGTTGTTCAGGTGAAAGTAGTTAATATAATGGATCCCAGGATCGATGTATAAAACTATCAATAAATGCATCAAGTCAGCTGTGTCCAGTATATTATTACATGTCATACTCATGCTGTTACAAATTGCGTGATTTGAAATTAATGTCAAATTTTCTGAGCGATTATGTGTATACCTGCTTCAATTTCTCAATTGCAGTTTTCTTCGTTCAGATGATGTATAATCAAAATTACATTTTACTTTCTAAGTGAATTTTGTCTACTATACTGAGGGAAGTGGTTCAATTGTAATGAAGTTGTCATTAGAAACCATTTTCGTAGGATCCAAACGTGTTAATGATTTACCGATGTTTCATGAAAACCACTGAAAGCACCGTGTCAGGAGAAATAGGATGCATCTTATTGACCAGAATCGCTTCAAAATGCTTTAAAGTTAGCCGATTTCCTATTTTACGAGGGCGGTTCAACAAGTACTTGTGTTAGAACTGAAGACACCATTTTTTCCAAAAAAAAAATCTTTTTATTTTTCAACATAATCCCCTTTTAGAAAGATACGCTTTTCCCAACATGCCTGCCATTTTCTTAACCACCCAAAAAATAGGATTTGTCGAACTGTCCAAAATACGCATCTGTCTCGGCGATGACTAAATTTTTTCCCCGCGAGGCCTTTCTTAATGTCAGGGAACAAGAAAAAGTCGCAGGGGGGCAGATCGGGTGAATACGGGGGGTGCGGCAGCACTTCATAACGCAATTCATGCAGTTTGGCGGCGACAACTCCGGATAATTGTGCAGGTGCGTTATTGTGGTGAATTAGCACTTTCTTTTTCGTCAAATGTGGCCGTGTCTTCTTCAATTTTTTGTAGAAGCGGTGCGATAACTCACTATAGGATTATCCAGTGATCGTTCTTCCTTTAGAGCTAATGTTTTTCCCCGCGAGCCATTTTTTCATGTCAGGAAACAAGAAAAAGTCGCAGGGGGCCAGATCGGGTAAATACAGGGGGTGCGGCAGCACTTCATAACGCAATTCAGGCAGTTTGGCGGCGACAACTCCGGATGAATGTGCTGGTGCGTTATTGTGGTGAATCGGCATTTTCTTTTTCGTCAAATGTGGCCGTGTCTTCTTCAATTTTTTGTAGAAGCGGTGCGATAACTCACTATAGGATTGTCCAGTGATCGTTCTTCCTTTTGAGCTAATTTTTTTCCCCGCGAGCCATTTCTTCATGTCAGGAAACAAGAAAAAGTCGCAGGGGGAGAGATCGGGTGAATACAAGGGGTGCGGCAGCACTTCATAACGCCATTCATGCAGTTTGGCGGCGACAACTCCGGATGAATGTGCTGGTGCGTTATTGTGGTGAATCGGCACTTTCTTTTTCGTCAAATGTGGCCGTGTCTTCTTCAATTTTTTGTCGAAGCGGTGCGATAACTCACTATAGGATTGTCCAGTGATCGTTCTTCCTTTTGAGCTATTTTTTCCCCGCGAGCCATTTTTTCATGTCAGGGAACTAGAAAAATTCGCAAGGGGTCAGATCGGGTGAATACGGGGGATGCGGCAGTACTTCCTAACGCAATACATGCAGTTTGGCGGCGACAATTCCGGATAATTGTGCAGGTGCGTTATTGTGGTGAATTAGCACTTTCTTTTTCGTCAAATGTGGCCGTGTCTTCTTCAATTTTTTGTAGAAGCGGTGCGATAACTCACTATAGGATTGTCCAGTGATCGTTCTTCCTTTAGAGCTAATGTTTTTCCCCGCGAGCCATTTTTTCATGTCAGGAAACAAGAAAAAGTCGCAGGGGGGCAGATCGGGTGAATACGGGGGTGCGGCAGCACTTCATAACGCAATTCATGCAGTTTGGCGGCGACAACTCCGGATAATTGTGCAGGTGCGTTATTGTGGTGAATTAGCACTTTCTTTTTCGTCAAATGTGGCCGTGTCTTCTTCAATTTTTTGTAGAAGCGGTGCGATAACTCACTATAGAATTGTCCAGTGATCGTTCTTCCTTTAGAGCTAATGTTTTTCCCCGCGAGCCATTTTTTCATGTCAGGAAACAAGAAAAAGTCGCAGGGGGAGAGATCGGGTGAATACAAGGGGTGCGGCAGCACTTCATAACGCAATTCAGGCAGTTTGGCGGCGACAACTCCGGATGAATGTGCTGGTGCGTTATTGTGGTGAATCGGCACTTTCTTTTTCGTCAAATGTGGCCGTGTCTCCTTCAATTTTTTGTCGAAGCGGTGCGATAACTCACTATAGTATTGTACAGTGATCGTTCTTCCTTTTTCTAAAAAATCCACGAGGATGACGCCGTTCGCATACCAAAAAATCATTGCGATGATCTTTCCGCCTTCTTTGGAGCAGATTCACCGGGAGAAATCCATTGTTTTGATTGTTGCTTAGTTTCTGATGTGTAACGATGAGTCCAGGTTTCTCCTTGTTCCCATCCAAAAACAAAAAGCGAATTACCGAACGATACGGCTATTTTCCAAACTAAGCTATCAGTCACACTGAAATTTGTTGTGCCATCGTTTGATAGATGGCAGCACACGATGATGACATCAACTTCCTTCAGGAATGCCCTCTGTCGTGAAACACGGGTACTTATGGAACCGCCCTCGTACGTCACTTATTCAGTGATCGTACCATTTGAATTTCTACTGTGCTGGTACTTCAATTCTCTACATTGGGGTTAGAAGCATTAAGAGTGCTTCAATAGTCAAGCTTGTAAGAAGCAATCGTATTTTGTTCAAATAATATAAATATACTAAGTGACATATAAATCCGAACACCCAGTTTAAATGGTTTTATTTTAATAAAAGTTGGTGAATGTATTTATCTTACTGTAAATAACAAGTGAAAAAATGTTCAGCCTTATCAGTTGGACATTCCGGTTTTTATACTGCTTTTTTTTAATTCACGAACGCTCTAAAAATGAATATTTCAGCCGCAGTAAAGAATCAACGTTGGCGGATTTTGGTTCTTGACATCCTTTACGATCGGTTACGATGCCTAGATTACGGAGACCTGTACGATTTCGTCAACTTAGTGAGTTTGATAGGGGCCGTATAGTGGGACTTCGGGATGCTGGACTTTCTTTTCGGGCAATTGCAGTTAGAGTGCAAAGAAGTGTAGACACTGTGGTTAGGTGTTGTCAGGCATGGCTTCGAGAAGACCGTACGCAAAGAGCAAGGGGCACTGGACGCCGCCGTAGAACAACAGACTGTGAAGATCGCCGCCTAAGATTATTGGCCTTAAGGGACCGTTTCTCCACTACCAGGTCCATTGCAAATGAATGGTTTGCAGAACACGGAAGACCTATTGGCATGCGAAGTGTTTACCGACGAATGAGAACCTTTGGCTTGTTTTCATACCGGGCCACACTGGGTCCTCCCTTTAACTCGAGAACACCGACGTAATCGCCTTGAGTGGTGCAGACAATGGTCACTCTGGGATCAGGAATGGAACAGTATTGTCTTTAGTGACGAGTCTCGATTTTGTCTAGGCATGCAAGATGGTCGTGCCAGGGCTAGAAGGCGACGTGGTGAAAGGAGGAATCCACAGTTTTTTGTTGAAAGACATGTTCATCACACTGTTGGAGTTATGGTTTGGGGTGCTATAGCTTATGGTTCCGGGTCACCTTTAATCTTCATCAGAGGTAACATGAACGCGCAGCGTTATATCCACGAAGTTCTAGAACCCCATCTTTTACCCTATCTTGACACCCTGGCTGATCCAACTTTCCAACAAGATAATGCCCGACCACATGTCGCAAGAGTCACAATAGACTTCTTTCAACATAATGATGGCCACCAAGATCTCCCGACTTATCCCCAATTGAGCACGTGTGGGGTATGATGGGTAGGAGATTGCTCAATTTGTAACGTCCTCCTCAGACTCTAGAAGCACTTCGAGAGGAGTTGGTGGTTGCCTGGAATGATATACCACAGGAGGACATTGACCACCTGATCAGAAGCAGGCCTAGGCGCGTTGGAGAATGCGTAGCACATCAGGGTGCATCCACACATTATTAAAAGTCAAAGGGCTTTAAAGCAGTGCAATCACTTTGAAATTTTTATCATTTACTTATTATGCTTCATTAAGTACTTATACAAAATTTTATTAAAATAAAACCATTTAAACTGGGTGTTCGGATTTATATGTCACTTAGTATATTTAGAAAAATAAAATTTGCGTCTCTAAGAATTTCCACTGTTCACCGAAAAAATGTTTGTTGCCATTGTTGAACTTTAGTTGCTTGAATCCTAATGTTTGTTTTAGGATTGAAGGATTGATTGAAGAGCAATGCTCTTTTTAAAAAAATCGCTAAGTTGAACAAAAAAAAGTAGGTATTTCAACCCTCCCTAAATCTTGTGTAAAAACAAAATTTCAAAAAGAGCTTCGTTAGCAACCTGAGCAATTGTCTTCTGCACATCCTCCATGAATTTCATTCAAAAATATCGAAAAATGGAGTGTCGGTTTCGAAGCAGCTGAACCCTTGTAAATGGCTTGAACCTCGCTGCGTCGCAGATATGCTGAATACAACCTCTGAAGTTCTTTCTTATTAATTTCAGAGCGCAACATCGCAGTCAAAACATGCCGCTCGGTTTTTGAGGCTAGCGATGGCTAGCATAATGGACATACTGAAGATAAAGCCGTTTGTGGAAGTCTCGGTGGGGCAGTTGCTGTGGGGTTACGAAGATCCTTTGCTTAAACTAGCAAAGGATGTCGTACCCAAAGAACAGAAATTACCTTACGAAGAGTTCGGACTTATGTACAAGGTGAGTCATGGCTTTGGTTGTATATCGTATTTTCGAAACTAATTGTATTATTACGGGCCAATTTCATAGAGACTTGTCATATTGACAGGTCATTTAATGAATCACACAAGTTGTTGAAGGTTATTGATTCCTTTTTAAATTACGTACTATCAAAATTTTTTTTATCTGAATTTCGTTGTTTTTAATCATCATGTGTTGGAACTACTGTCTTTATAAGTAATCGTTTTACGAGGGATGTCTCTTAAGTTTTGCATATGGAAATAAAACAACACGGTAGATAGTTTTAAATGACTGTATTGTTTTTCGAAGTAAATTTCTCGGTTGAATTCCATTTTTCTAATGACTTGATAACACTTAAAAATTCAATGTAGTGAGAACACTGCACGTATTGTTGTGAAACTTTGAATTTAAGTTTACTAAAGAGTGAGGTTAAGATTCAGTACTGACGTTCGATCCGCGCGGCCTACTATGTCTCTATATGCAAAACTTAACAGACATCCCTCGTAGTTTAGATGAATTGTTCCGTGAATGGTTTTTGCTACTTCTGCTGATTTTTTTTTGTGTTGTTTTTTGGTGCTAACGTTCAACTTGAAACAGACTGCTGTGGAGTTAATTCTAATTCCACTACAATTTTCCTTTTTAGCTCATTTTGCGTAAAAATGCATTTCGTTTCTATTATATTATCTATTATAAGAAAAGATATTCTTTGCCGTGAATCATTCTTCTACAAACTATAGGGTTGTCCAATAGGGACGCAGGAAAGTAAACGTCAATTTGACATAGACGCCATCTTTGTTTTCTGTCACCGACATGTCATTTTGTTAGTTAAATGTTTACCATTGATCGCTATGGAGTCGTATTCGATTGAAGACCGCATTAAAGTTATTCAAGAGCACTACAAAAATGGTGCAAAAATAAAAAACACGTTTCGCGCGCTTCGTGAACATTTCGGTCGCAACAACCGCCCAAACGAAACAACCATCGGTCGTCTGGTGCGTAAATTCGAGGCAACAGGTTCTGTGGCAAATCTGCCAGGCTCTGGCCGGCCAAGGAGCGTTCGCACACCGGAAAATATTGCTGTTGTGAAGGAGAGTGTGAGAGACGATCCGAAACAATCAACAACGCGTCGATCCCAAGAATTGGGCATTTCGAGAACCAGTTTACTCCGCATTCTCCACAAGGATTTGAATGTACACGCCTACAAGATCCAATTGACGCAAGAGCTGCGTCGGGCCGACCATTTTTCGTTCTCAGATTGGCTCCTTGAACACCGCCAAATTGATGGCAATTTTTCATCAAAAATCATGTTCAGCGACGAAGCGCATTTCACTTTGAATGGGACGGTAAACAAGCAAAACTGCCGCATCTGGGCGTACGAAAATCCCCGTGAGTATCAAGAGCAGCCGATGCATCCTCAAAAAGTGACTGTGTGGTGTGCATTGTGGTCAAAAGGCATCATCGGACCTTACTTTTTCGAAAATGCGGCCGGGGACGCCGATACCGTCAATTCTGAGCGATATCACGTGATGATAGAGGACTATTTTTTGCCGCAACTTGAAGGAATGGATATGGACGATGTTTATTTCCAACAAGACGGTGCAACATGCCACACAACCAACGTCAATATCCATCGATTGCAGTCCTTCTTCGGTGATCGCGTGATTTCGCGCAGAGGAAATGTGCCATGGCCACCAAGATCGTGCGATTTGACTCCCTTGGACTTCCTTTTATGGGGATATTTGAAACGCAAAGTCTACGTCAACAAACCAGCCACCCTCCAAGAACACAAAAACAACATCATTGCCGAGATAAATGCCATAGAACCGACCATGTCGCAAAATGTCATTGAAAATTTCGACCATCACGTGGACGTCTGTAAATCCAGTCATGGTGAACATTTGAGCGATATTATTTTTCATACATAAATGGTATAAATGAACCTTCAAAATAAAGTACCCAACTTGATTTGAATATCAATCTTTCTTGTTTTAATATGCGTTTACTTTCCTGCGTCAGTTTTGGACAACCCCATATTATTTATTATAAGAAACGATATTCTTTGTCACGAATCATTCTTCTACAAACTATTATACTAAAGAAAATGCAACACCCACTAGAAGAGCATACTTTTACAAGTTTTAGGTCTACTACTAAAAAGCGGTGGACCTAATAAAAATAAAAATATAAAAATTTTTTTAACGGATTGCTGTTTGTTGTATAAGTAAATTGCTAGTAGTGAGTGAATGTTGTTAATAGTAAAACCGTATTCGTTTTTAGAAAAACGGTACCAGCGAGGATACAGTGACGATGTGGACTGGGGCAGGGGACATCAGCCGATACGGCTTGATCAACAGATTCAACGGAAAGAACAATCTCTCGCACTATTTGACTGATGAGTGCAACAGTGTGATGGCATCTGATGGAAGTATCTTCCCACCTCACATGACTAAGAACACAACCCTCTACATATTCGACAAGGACCTGTGCAGGCGATTACCACTTGTGTGAGTGCATTTTCTTATACTATTTCGGTACAGCAGGTTTTTTTTTTTCGTGTAAACTGACTTATAATGAAAACCTTTTATTTTTGATATATTTTATATTCAACAGTATATCTAAATTTGCTTGATTTTTTCAAATTTTGAATTTTCCAAAAATTTACAAATCTTCAAATCGTTTTCTTAATTTCCGAATTTTCCAATTATTTACAAAATTTTCGAATAAGATTTTTCCAAATTTCAAAATCTTTTTATTCCAAATTCGATTTTTGAAATAAAAAATTCCTTGTGAGTGAAAATAATGTAAGAACCTTATTTTTGAAACTACCCTCGTATATTTGTACTATAATTGAATTTTTTGTGAATATCTTTATTTTTATATTGATACTTGATTCATACTTGATTGTTGGCTTCTTATTGCACAAACTTAAGTTATTCACTAAATTTTCGAATCAATTTTTTCCATATTCCAAAATATTTTTTCAATTTCCAAATTCGATTTTTCAAATAAAAAATTCCTTGTGTCAGGAGAAAAAAGATAACCCTCGTATATTTGTACTATATTTGAAATTGATACTTGATTGTTGGACTTTTTATTGTACTAACACAAACTCTCGAAAACTATTTTTTTACTTCTTATTTCGATTTGCTATTAAAGCGTTTTTTTTTTCGTTTTTTCAACTGTAATTCATTTTCTGAACTACTAGTCTCAAAACGAAGATGAAGACCTTCTATTTATGATATATTTTTTATTCAACAACATATCTAAATTTGCTTCATTTTTTTCAAATTTTGAAATTTCCAAAAATTTACAAATCTTCAAATCGTTTTCCTAATTTCCGAATTTTCCAATTATTTACAAAATTTTCGAATCAGTTTTTTCCGAATTTCAAAATCTTTTTTCCAAATTCGATTTTTGAAATAAAAAATTCCTTGTGAGTGAAAATAATGTAAGAACCTTATTTTTGAAACAACCCTCGTATATTTGTACTATAATTGAATTGTTTGTCAATATCTTTATTTTTATATTGATCTTATTCCAAAGAGATACTTGATTGTTGGCTTCTTATTGCACGAACTTAAGTTATTCACTAAATTTTCGAATCAATTTTTTCCATATTCCAAAATATTTTTTTTCAATTTCCAAATTCGATTTTTCAAATAAAAAATTCCTTGTGTATGGAAAAAAGATAACCCTCGTATAGTTGTACTATAGTTGAAATTGATACTTGATTGTTGGACTTTTTATTGTACTAACACAAACTCTCGAAAACTATTTTTTACTTCTTACTTCGATTTGCTATTAAAGCGTTTTTTTTCTTTTTTTCAACTGTAATTCATTTTCTGAACTACTCAAAACGAAAATGAAGACCTTCTATTTATGATATATTTTATATTCAACAACATATCTAAATTTGCTTCCTTTTTTTTCAAATTTTGAAATTACTAAAAATTTTAAAAAATTTCCAAATCTTCAAATTATTTTCCAAATTTCCAAATCTTCCGATTGTTTACCACATTTTCGAATCAATTTTTTCCAAATATCAAAATCATTTTTTTAAATTTCCAAATTCGATTTTTCAAATAAAAAAATCCTTGTGCCTGAGAAAAATTTAGGAACCTTATTTTTGAGACAACCCTCGTATATGTGTACTATAATTGAAATTTTTGTTAATATCTAAATTTTTATATTGATCTTCATTTTCGAATCAATTTAAATTACAAAATATTTTTTTCAAATTTTCAAATTCCATTTTCCAAATAGAAAATTCCTTATGCCTGAAAAAAATGTAGTAACCTTATTTGTACTATAATTCAAATTGATACTTGATTCATACTTGATTGTTGGTCTTTTTATTGTACTAATACAAACTCTCCAAGACTTGAAAATTATTTTCTACTTCCGTCGATTTGCTGTTAAAGCGTTTTTTCTTTTATTTATTTTCTGAAGTACTAGTCTCAAAACCAAGACCGTCTAGTTTTGATATATTTTATATTTAACTATATATATAAATTTGATTCCAATTATTTTAAAATTTTGAAATTTCCAAACATTTTTCAAAATTTCTAAATGTTCAGATTATTTTCCAAATCTCCGAATTTTCCAATTATTTACCAAATTTTGGAATCAAATTTTTTTAAATTTCAAAATATTTTTGTTTAATTTCCAAAATCGATTTTTCAAATAAAAATTCTGAAAAAATGTAGAAACCATATTTTTGAAACAACCCTCGTGTATTTATACTATAATTAAATTTTTGAAAATATCTTAGTTTTCATATTGGTCTTATTCCAAATTGATTGTTGGAATTTCTGTTGCAGTAACACTCCTAAACTTTAAAATGATTTTCTTCTTTTTAGTTCACTTTGCTATTAAAGCGAATTTTTAGTTTTTTTAAACTATAATCTATATATATTTTATATTCAACAGTATATCTAAATTTGCTTAATTTTTTCCAAATTTTGACATTTATAAAAATTTACAAATCTTCAAATCGTTTTCCTAATTTCCGAATTTTCCAATTTTTTGCAAAATTTTCGAATAAGTTTTTTCCAAATTTCAAAACCTTTTTTCCAAATTCGATTTTTGAAACAAAAAATTCCTTGTGAGTGAAAATAATGTAAGAACCTTGTTTTTGAGACAAACCTCGTATATTTGTACTATAATTGAATTTTTTGTCAATATCTTTATTTTTATATTGATCTTATTCCAACGTGATACTTGATTCATACTTGATTGTTGGCTTCTTATTGCACCAACTTAAGTTGTTCACTAAATTTTCGAATCAATTTTTCTCAAATTCCAAAATATTTTTTTTCAATTTCCAAATTCGATTTTTCAAATAAAAAATTCCTTGTGTCTGGAAAAAATATAACCCTCGTATATTTGAAATTGATACTTGATTGTTGGACTTTTTATTGTACTAACACAAACTCTCGAAAACTATTTTTTACTTCTTACTTCGATTTGCTATTAAAGCGTTTTTTTTTTCGTTTTTTCAACTGTAATTCATTTTCTGAACTACTAGTCTCAAAACGAAGATGAAGACCTTCTATTTATGATATATTTTATATTCAACAACATATCTAAATTTGCTTCCTTTTTTTTTCAAATTTTGAAATTTCTAAAAATTTTTAAAAATTCCCAATTCTTCAAATTATTTTCCAAATTTTCCGATTGTTTACCACATTTTCGAATCAATATCCAAATATCAAAATCATTTTTTTAAATTTCCAAATTCGATTTTTCAAATAAAAAAATCCTTGTGCCTGAAAAAAATTTAGGAACCTTATTTTTGAGACAACCCTCGTATATGTGTACTATAATTGAAATTTTTGTTAATATCTAAATTTGTATATTGATCTTAATTTTCGAATCAATTTTTTCCAAATTACAAAATATTTTTTTCAAATTTTCAAATTCCATTTTCCAAATAGAAAATTCCTTATGCCTGAAAAAAAATGTGGGAACCTTATTTGTACTATAATTTAAATTGATACTTGATTCATACTTGATTGTTGGTCTTTTTATTGTACTAATACAAACTCTCCAAAACTTGAAAATTATTTTCTACTTCCGTCGATTTGCTGTTAAAGCGTTTTTTCTTTTATTTTTTAAACTGTCATTTATTTTCTGAATTACTAGTCTCAAAACCAAGACCTTCTAGTTTTGATATATTTTATATTTAACTATATATCTAAATTTGCTTCCAATTATTTTAAAATTTTGAAATTTCCAAAAATTTTTCAAAATTTCCAAATGTTCAAATTATTTTCCAAATCTCCGAATTTTCCAATTATTTACCAAATTTTAGAATCAAATTTTTCTAAATTTCAAAATATTTTTTTTTAATTTTCCAAATCGATTTTTCAAATAAAAAATTCCCCGTGTCTGAAAAAATGTAGAAACCATATTTTTGAAACAACCCTCGTATATTTATACTATAATTAAATTTTTGATAATATCTTAATTTTCATATTGGTCTTATTCCAAATTGATTGTTGGAATTTCTGTTGCAGTAACATTCCTAAACTTTAAAATCATTTTCTTCTTTTTAGTTCACTTTGCTATTAAAGCGAGTTTTTAGTTTTTTTAAACTATGATCTATATATTTTATATTCAACAGTACATATATCTAAATTTGCTGAATTTTTTTCAAATTTTGAAATTTCCAAAAATTTTCAAATCTTCAAATCGTTTTCCTAATTTCCGAATTTTCCAATTATTTACAAAATTTTCGAATCAGTTTTTTTCCAAATTTCAAAACCTTTTTTTCCAAATTCGATTTTTGAAATAAAAAATTCCTTGTGAGTGAAAATAATGTAAGAACCTTATTTTTTAAACAACCCTCGTATATTTGTACTGTAATTGAATTTTTTGTCAATATCTTTATTTTTATATTGATCTTATTCCAAAGAGATACTTGATTGTTGGCTTCTTATTGCACCAACTTAAGTTATTCACTAAATTTTCGAATCAATTTTTTTCAAATTCCAAAATATTTTTTTTCAATTTCCAAATCCAATTTTTCAAATAAAAAATTCCTTGTGTCTGGAAAAAAGATAACCCTCGTATATTTGTACTATATTTGAAATTGATACTTGATTGTTGGACTTTTTATTGTACTAACACAAACTCTCGAAAACTATTTTTTACTTCGTACTTCGATTTGCTATTAAAGCGTTTTTTTTTTCGCTTTTTCAACTGTAATTCATTTTCTGAACTACTAGTCTCAAAACGAAGATGATTTATGATATATTTTATATTCAACAACATATCTAAATTGCTTCCTTTTTTTTCAAATTTTGAAATTTCTAAAAATTTTTAAAAATTTCCAAGTCTTCAAATTATTTTCCAAATTTCCAAATTTTCCGATTGTTTACCACATTTTCGAATCAATTTTTTCCAAATATCAAAATCATTTTTTTAAATTTCCAAATTCGATTTTTCAAATAAAAAAATCCTTCTGCCTGAAAAAAATTTAGGAACCTTATTTTTGAGACAATATGTGTACTATAATTGAAGTTTTTGTTGATATCTAAATTTTTATATTGATCTTAATTTTCGAATCAATTTTTTTCAAATTACAAAATACTTTTTTCAAATTTTCAAATTCCATTTTCCTAATAGAAAATTCCTAATGCCTGAAAAAAAATGTGGGAACCTTATTTGTACTATAATTCGAATTGATACTTGATTCATACTTGATTGTTGGTCTTTTTATTGTAGTAATATAAACTCTCCAAAACTTGAAAATTATTTTCTACTTCCGTCGATTTGCTGTTAAAGCGTTTTTTCTTTTATTTTTTTAAACTGTTATTTATTTTCTGAAGTATTAGTCTCAAAACCAAGACCTTCTAGTTTTGATATATTTTATATTTAACTATATATCTAAATTTGCTTCCAATTATTTTAAAATTTTGAAATTTCCAAAAATTTTACAAAATCTCCAAATGTTCAAATTATTTTCCAAATCTCCAAATTTTCCAATTATTTTGGAATCAATTTTTTCTAAATTTCTAAATATTTTTTTTAATTTCCAAAATCGATTTTTCAAATAAAAAATTCCTCGTACCTGAAAAAATGTAGAAACCATATTTTTGAAACAACCCTCGTATATTCATACTATGATTAAATTTTTGATAATATCTTAATTTTCATATTCGTCTTATTCCAAATTGATTGTTGGAATTTCTGTTGCAGTAACACTCATAAACTTTAAAATGATTTTCTTCTTTTTAGTTCACTTTGCTATTAAAGCGAGTTTTTAGTTTTTTAAACTATAATCTATTTTCAAAACTACAACATAATCAAGACTTTCTATGTTTCATATCTATCCTACATTTGACAATAAATCTAAATTTAGTTCAAAACTCTTTCAGATTGCGAAATTTCAAAATTTCCGATTTTTTAAAATTTCCAAGCCTTCAAATTATTTTCCAAATTTTCCAATTTTTTACCAATAATTTTCGAATCAACTTTTTTTCCAAATTTGAAAATCCGATTTTTTCAAAAATTATTATGTCATCGGCCTTTGACCCCTGTTAATCAGCCTTCTTTAAATTGGTGAAGGCCTAGTTTTGATATATTTTATATTCAACTATACAGGGTGGCGCATCGAAAACGAAACAGGCGCATTTACTGGCAGCTCAGTTTTTTTTTGGAAAAACGCTCAGACCCGTCGATTTTGTTTTCGAGGGGGACACAAGTTTGGCAAAAAATCACGTTAACACGTGCAGCCCCCTGGGCGGGGGTGACACCAACCCTAAAATCTTAAATGGAAAGGGGGGGGGGGGTCGAGTAATACCTCATTTTAAAGGTCTTTCAATTCCCTTTACAATGATGTAAAATATACTAAGTGACATATAAATCCGAACACCCAGTTTAAATGGTTTTATTTTAATAAAATTTTGTATAAGTACTTAATGAAGCATAATAAGTAAATGATAAAAATTTCGTATATAATAACAACGCAGTTTATCATTTCTAATGACACAGAGTGATTTGTATTTAGCAATACTTATTTGTTTTCCCCTTCAGATTTTATACCTGAATAACCACAAAAACTACCTATTTACTACTGGATACAAAAGCAAATTGTTCGAGTATGTTTTTGAGCTAATATTATAAACAATCATTCAGCATTATAATGTCTCCATAACACCGTTTATATTTTCCGGTTTTTCTCAGAAACTATGAACAAATATCGCATTTGTTATAACGACATTATTTGTTTGGAATTAATGATCATCGTACAAGCACACACATCTTGGAAATATTGAAAACAAAATAAAAAATATTATTCGATTATTTTCAAGTGCATTCCAAACTTCAAATAGTTATGCAATTAGTAGTAAACGTTTCGCATGTTATAACGAACAATAATATCGACGCGTACCAGGTATTATGACTAAATATGCTTACAATGGCATATTTCAGATATGTATTATTAACCCATTGAACGACATTCTTATTGATTGACAACATTACCATATGCTGATATTGGACATTCATCAGAAAGGTATTCACCAACGTAGATGATTCTAGTTTCAGCATATGTATGGTAGCTATGCTCATCGATATCAGCAACTGATTTTATTCCTTTTAATATCATTACTTTATCAAGTTTGAAGACAAGCATCCTGTTTGAGGTGTCAGTGATATAGAAATCTACAAAACCCTCGATCTCTGCAAGATGGCATTTACACACAAATGCTTTTCATGTTGTTTTCGGATTTCCGCGATGTTTTTGGATCACCACGTAAGACGGAATTCCCAGTTCTTAAAAAACAACTTGTAGGTGTACATTTTAATATGTTCATCAACAACAGTTACTTGATGCTGTATACATCTGATAGTATTCCGTACACGTCTCGTATATGCACCATTATAAAAATGAACCATGCGTGACCTGACAAGGAATCACTGTAAATGAGCAACAATTTAAACGTTCGTCAACAAATCGTTTTTGTTTATTATAGCTCGCCAATGTCGATCGTAAGGTAAACTTCCATTCTAACAAGTTACAGGAATATGTACCTAGATATATAAGAAATTATTATTGAATGGTCAACATTATTTGCTAGAAAATATCCTTCGGCATTTGATTCATCTGTCTACAATTTCTTAAACGTCAAAAAATAAACATAACCTTACATCTTACTTCTGATTTCTGATTGACAGCAAACTAGAAATCTAAAGCAGTATAATACAAGTGTGTTCTTTCTAACAAGCGTTTCTAGAAGTCCAGATTCGTTTGGATGGCTGTATGTGACAATTTGTAAATTGTCAGAAAACTAAAGGACTGTATATAAATTTCTTTACCATGTGATAATTCTTTTCAGGTTTGAGAAAGAGGTAAAGGGCAGCGACGACATTCCAGCATATCGATTCACTCCTCCAAAGAACGTTTTTGCAAGCGTTGAAGAAAATCCTGACAATGCCTGCTTCTGCCCGCAAGGTCCCCCATGCGCGCCATCTGGTTTCTTCAATGTCTCGCTCTGTCAATATGGTGAGTGTCTCTGCATCGACAATGTTTTGTTTTTAATACCATGACGGTGTATAATTTTTCAGTATTACTAGTAGCAGCTAGAAATAGGATAGTTGACACTTTTTTTTGACTATATTTTTTCAGATCTAAAGGACCGTAAATTTCAATTTAAAAATATATTTTTCTCAGATACGCGAAAACGCTGTCCGCCATGTTTGGCCCAAATTAGTGTGTTCTGACGTAATGCCATTTGTAAACAACATAACCTCTAAAACTTTTAAACATATATACATAATTTATACCTTGAAAATGAGTAAGGAGGAACACAATATTAGATAAAATTATTCAGAGCTTATGACCCATGACGTTAGTTTTGAATGCCTTCTGAAAAGGAAAATTATGTGAGTGTGTCAATTTTTGGCAAATTTGTAATTTTTGCTTTTACGAATTCATGATTGTTTTTTTTTCTCATTAAAACGAGAAAACGATCACATTTTACGTTTTTTTAGAAATATTTATAAAAGACATCTTTAGACCAGGAGTGACGTACGGATGACGTTTCTTTGTTTACAATTTGTATGTCGTCACATCATGGGTGATAGCTTCACCGTTTCGTATTAAAAATGAAACATATATTTTTTGAATTGGATCTGCGCTTTTCGTCGATATATTTCGTTTTCCTAAGTGAAACACTGTAAGAAGCACTCATTTATTCAAAGAAATTATGTATCAGTCAACAGCTATTTAAGATGAAACATTCTTGAACATCATCATTGATATTTCTTTCAGATTCGCCGATACTGCTGTCATTCCCTCACTTTTATTTGGCCAATGACAGTTATAGGACAGCTTTCGATGGAATATCACCAGCAGATCCAGAAAAACATAAATTCTACCTTGATGTTCAACCCGTAAGCATATTTCGTTATCTATCGTTAGCTTAACTATAAATATCTATCCTAGTATATCTGTTCTATCCCTAGCGCCAAATAGACAGATACGGGGGTTGTTTCAAAAATAAGGTTCCCACATTTTTATGAATTGTTGTGGTGCAGTCTTACACTTATCACAAATAGGCGCTTCTTGTTGGGATCGGCAGTGGGGGAGCCCACAAATACGACGGTGTTGCCAGATTTCGCCTAGCATCAGATAAAACGTTGGGTACCTTATTTTTGAGATAACCTTCGTATCTAACAATATTTTTTATAGGATCATATGTTTTTTGTTCACAATGCATCCGAGCGATCACAAACTCCGGTACATTCTCTATGAGTTCTTCAATTTTCAATTGAGCTGATTTACAATGTAATGGTATTTAAGGTATACATTCTCAATTTCTTTCAGGTAATGGGTACCGCAATGGCCGCCAAAGCTAGAGTGCAGATCAACCTGGCAGTTTCGCAGGTAGTGGACATCAAACAAGTTGCTACATTCCCAGATATCGTCTTTCCTATTATGTGGTTTGAAGAGGTAAAATATTCACTTTTTCTCACTTTACAATTAATATTATTCAAGTGGTCAACTGAAACACTCATAATATTAATATACATTGCTTTTCAGAATGATCCTGGGTGACAGCCGAAATTTTTTTTTTAGTGGAATGATAGTTCATTTGAAGTATTTCATAACACTAGAGTATACTATACTATCTATCAAAATGGCGAACTGTCAAAGTTGAGCGTTATCCTACATTAAATTATAACTCGGCAGCTAATCATAAAAACGCTATAGTATCTTTTAGCAATCTTCTACACTGCCTGCTGTACAATGGGTAAAAAATTCCAACTGCCCTGCGGTGGTGTCGTCACTGACACACCGCTATAGGAGCGCGTACCACGTTCTGCGATGCTTTTGCAAATGATGATCCTTAAATGTACCACCCATTTCGCCTAACCTTCAATTTGTGTTACTCATCCGTTCTCTGAATATTTCGTCAAGTAGATTGACTCAGTACTTAGACAAGTGACACCGACATAAATGAGGAACATGGAGTAATTTTTTTTCTTTGAAATTTCCAACGAATATGCTCTTTTTTCCACTCGTTGAGATATGCATTTTTTCACAGGGTCTTGACTCGCTGCCAAAAGAAATGACCGGTCTGATGGGTCTCGCCACGTATGTACCACCGGTAGCGCGTGCTTCCCTTTCCGGAATTCTATTCGGCCTTGGGTCGGTACTACTCATCTTGGCGGTGTGGAGGCTAGTACGAGGGGCGAGCCGATTGAGCTCTCTACAATTGGCCACCGGAAATACTGTTTCCAATGGGAATCCCACAAAGCCTAAATATTAGCTGATGGGGTTGTAGGGTAGAGAAATGAAGATATAAATGGGACTGATACACCACGATCATGGAAAACTGAAAAATTTGTTGTGAAACATCATGAAAATATTCTCTAGTAGAAAACGAAAGGATTTTGGTGATGATTTTTTAACTGTTTTGTCTACTTAGAAGAAACATTAGACCATTGAAACAATCTAAAATAAAGACTGTTGCATAGAATTGTGTATTGTAATTCAAAAATTTTGCAGGATCATCAGTTGAATTAAAAATATGTATACAATATCAATAATAATAAAAAATGGGGAAGGGAAAATGAAATAAAAATATGCGAAAAGGAAAATTTAAGCAAATATCCATTTGTCAAACATTTTAGTGAAATGTGTTCAAGGGGAATTTCAAAATTTTAATAAGCGTTGGAAATTCAATTATAGACAGTTTCAACAGCATGTTCATATTTAAAAAAAATATTGATTGACCGTGGTGTATCACTCTCAGGTAATGTACAAAGATCATGAGAGGGAAATGGGTAAAAAATAAATTCAAACAAAGACCAACATACATGTATCCGTCCTTTAGTCTAAGCGTTGCAATTCGAACCTAAGTATAAATTATTCCATTCGACATGTGATTTTTTAATGTATGACAATAATTATGGCTACAAAATCTGTGTGGAACTCTATTTTCTGTGGGATTAAAGCATCACAATTGTATTGCTATTAGCAGTTAGCAACAAACTTTGACTTCTCTAACATGATCTTATGAGACTTCATGTATTGTTTTCTACAGAAAAAAGAGATCTACATAAACTGTGAAATAGTGTACTTAAATAAGAATTTTATAATTTTGATAAAAATAAAAGCAAAAATAAATACAACGAAAAATACCTTTATTTGAAGGTATGTGATAGCTTTTATTGACTCTGAGTTTTTTTATTGCTATTTTTTAATCGTGTAAGGCGGTTAGGGTAGGGACAAAATTTGCAATTTCTTTTCGTTCATGCATATCAAGTGGAGGATCTGCTGTTTACATTGTAAATTTTGTACAGTGACATTAAGCAATAACGGTGAGTACGAATATTTCCAACAAGAAGTAAAAGATGCTCATGAAAAAATAGAAAAAGCTCAATTTTCGTTTAGAGGGGTGCTGTGTAAATACAATCAAAGGTAGCAAGCAAGTGTCAGATAATTTTAATGACTGTAAAAGTACACGTTGTAAATGTTTTAGGTGTATTGATAGTTTTATATTTTTTATTAGTGTTTTATCAAGTTTTTTTGTAAAGGATATCTAATAAAAATGGAACAAATTTGTTTTGTTATTATTATACCCTAACTACCATATAGAACGCCTGGTACAGGAGAAGTCTGAGAGGTGAGACATGCGAGTTAAACTTCACCAGACTACATCCGTTAATTTGACCAGACTATATCATTTAACAGGAATTCGGAGTAAGCCTATGCTGGATTTAGACAATACGAGGGCGGTCCGATAAGTACTTAGCCTACGATAGAAAAACGAAAATTTTTGAAGTGGCAAGTTATTTCTCAACATATAGACCAGAGTTCCCCAAACTATTTTGTGTCGTAGACCCCTTGCCATGTTTTTCCGTGTTGGGTAGACCCCCTACTTACCTGATATTGATTTCCTGTAATTTTCTAACTGTAGTGAAGTTTAGTGTTAAAAACTTAAAGTAAAAACACATGTTAATTTATACATTTATTAATTGAAGTTAAATTAAAACTACTCAAAATAAAATTTTGTATCTGTTATGTAAAATATACGTAACATTAAATAAACAGATGTCTGACCAATAAGTGCCCGCATTGGAAAAAAAATAAGAGGGAAAAATTAAAAAAAAGTGCAAAATAATAAAAAAAAGTTTTTTTACTTAAAATAGTACAATAGGCGAGTTCGTTTATTAATTATAACATAAACGTATGTTCTACAATAATTTCACAGTCAGTTTGATTAAATTCCGCTTCTTATACGTTTAAGTTATCTAAAAATAGGCAAAAAATTAACGAATTTTAGTGTGTACCTATCCTTGAATTTTCAGAATAAAAAAAATATTTTCTATAAAGGGGGGTTGTTTAAAAAAATCAATGCGGGCACTTATTCCCAATACGGTCATTTATTAGTCAGACACCAATAAACATAAAATAAACTATAAATAAAATAACATAAGCAATAAGTCAATATTTTTAGTGAGGATGCACCTGATGCTTTAATAATAAATTATCAACATTTGGCGTCAATTTTGTAAGGGTTAATCTTAAATCTCCTCGGCTAATGATGTCCAGTCTGTTTCTTTTTTTAGTTAGGAGATTGGTAACAGCGCTGAACCCCCTTTCCACTAGGTATGACGATGGAAAGGAAATTAAAAATTTCCTCGCTATATTCCATAATACGGGATAAGTAACGGGTATGTTGTTTTGCCGCCAGAATTGCTGATATCCGTTTTTAAACTGAACCTTAAGTTCTTCGTTTGTACTTAGTTCATTCAGTTCCTCTTGTATTATGACATTCGTTTCTTCTATGTCACCATATGGATTAATTATCCACAGTGGTATTACCATAGTCAAAATATCCTCAAACCTAGATTCAAAATCTGAATAGAGGGCATTTAAATGTTGAACGTAAGTTGAAACGTCGTCTTCCTGGCAGCTTGTCTGTGACAAATTGGGGAACTGAGAAAATTCGCCCCGTCCAATATTTTGCTTCATTAGTTTAACTCTGGCAAGAAACGCTGATAAGATGGACTTTGTTTTAATCAAATTTAAACTGTCGCCTTGTAATTGCAAATTAACCATATTAAATTTTGTAAACAAATCTGTTAAATAGGCGATGTCTCTTCATTAAATTTTCTTTTAAAATTTTATCTTTAGTATCCAGAAATTCTAAAATAGTCTCAAAAAGTGCAAAAAATCTTGTCAAACATAAGCCTTTCGACAGCCAGCGTACTTCAGTGTGAAGGAGTAATTGATGAAAGTGTTCGTCATTTTCTTCACACAACTGCGCAAATAACCACGTATTCAACGCGTTGCTTCGGATTCGGTTTACTGCATCAATGACTAAATGAAGTGATTCATGCAATCTAACACCCAAAATTTTAGCAACTAAATGTTGTCGATGGATGACGCAATGTATTGCTAACACCCCTGACACATTTTGTTTTGAATAGCTTATAACCAACCATGGCAGGTGCTCCATCTGTAGCTACTGATATTATATTTGATAAAGGAATTGCTTTTTCAATGAAGTAATCCTTCAAAACATGAAATATTGATTCACCTTTAGTGTCGGTTATCAAAGTTCTTGCGAAGAGCAGTTCTTCGTAGATTTCTTGATTCATAATAAAACGAACATATGCCAATAATAATGCTAATCAGGTAAAGTTGACTCGTCCAGTTGTATAGAGAAATGGGTCGTTTGCAAATAATTACATAAGAAGCTTTCAATATCGGAACTCATTTCATCAATACGTCTTTCAACAGTATTGTTGCTTAAGGGAATTCTTTTAATGATATCAGATGCAGGTTTGTGTAAAACAGTTTTTAAAACCTCTTCAACGGCTGGCAAAATTAACTTATCTCCGATAGTATGCGGTTTTCCGGATTTTGCTATAAGTAACGGGATATTGTAAGACGCCCGCAAACCATCATCATTTCTTTGTGACGTCGAAGCGAACATCTGTCCAGTGTAGGTCTCTTCTGAAATTTATCTTTGAGTGTTTGAAAGTATTTCAAATCTTTCTCTGATTTATCAGGGTGGCATCTTCTCAGATGATCTTGCAGTTTAGATGGTTTCATATCGTCATTGCCCAAAACTTTGTTGCATAAAAGGCACATAGGCGATTGTTTGTCCGGCAATGATGGAATGAAGCCAAATTTCAAATAATCAACACTGTACTGTCTACATTTCTTTTTAGATTCGGACATGGCATCAGTCATCTGTGGGCAAAATTAAATTATTTAAATAAGACAGAAAATCCAGCAGCTGTACGTATATATTAAAAATATTTTTTGATTTTTCCGAAAACATTCCATAATTCGAACATCTTCTTGCAACAATTAGCTCGAATTACGGAGATTGCACTGTAATTATATTACCGATTGCTAAAACTTTCAAAAAGAAACTATTGAGGAGTACTCGTGTAATTTTGCATGATTGAATATTTAACTACTAATAACTAAAGTCATGATTGGCGTAATTTATCTATCTTTGCTAACTACGAGTACAAAACTAAAATTTAATAAAAAATAATGTACTTAATTTTTTCCAGCACTCTCAAACAAAATAACACTGACTCACTATAATTTGTGTGATATACTATCTGTTTATATTTTTTAAAATATTTTCTTAGCACTTTCCTTTTCAAGATTCAGGAAACGAATAAACGTATTTGTCCCACATTCGTAGTTAAAGAGTGACGAATTGAACAAGTCAGTGCAAGGTAGCGAAGCTCTGAGACTGCGACTCTCAGGTTTTTACAAGTTCAAAATGTATTGCGACCACAAAGCGAATACCAACATCCTACAACTTACACAATTTTATAAACATATATAATAAATTTTTTACTTTTATAAATAATGTATATGTTTTGATATTATAAGATGGTATGATGTAAGTAAATAGGTACTATCAGTGTATGTGTTGAGATCCACTATCGTGGACCCCCATATTCATTTCACGGACCCCCAAATTTTTTTTCGCTGACGTAGACCCCTTTTGCAGGTTGTCATAGACCCCTAGGGGTCGATATAGACCACTTTGGGAATCAATGCTCTATACAATCAATCTAGCGATGCGTCAACTTCTTTAACCCGTCTGAAAAATACACTGCAGGTTTGAATCTCCACCATGGAAGTTAATTTCAACCTCATGAATGTTGGTTATTCAGCAATTAGTTACCTGTAGATGGCTTGTGGAGTAGTAGTGTCAAGGGTTGACTAGTTGTCGCCTCCTCACCACCACTACTAATAGGAGGCTTTTAGATGGTTGCACTATTGATAGAAACTAATAAAAATTCAGTTACGGGCAGAATGGTTTTATATACAAAGCTATACTAAATCACATGAACAATAAGCATACATTTACGAATTAATATACATATGCGTAACTTAAAGTAAATGCTTTATCGGATAAGAAGCGCTGCGCCAGTCAACCTAAATTCAAGTCAATGGAATCAACGCAGTAATGGAATGTAGATTAGCTGAATACAAAAAAGAAAAACCAAAATCGTCATCATTACACTATACATAAATTCGTTTGGATATGATGGGTTATGGTATACATATTTTACAACTAGAATAAATTTTCAACAAGCTACTATCACTATGTTAACACAGCACACAGTTCTAATGGTATCCACCAATCTTACTAATATATTTACGGTTGCACAAGTACACGATTCCATTATATACACCAGCGATCGGCAGCCCGATTTTACTAACAGGAGTGCAAAATTCTTGATCCGGATCATAATCGACCGATGAGAAGGCATCTTTCTGGTAATGGATCTAATGAATAAAATGTCTCTCAACCTAGCGAAAAATATACGATTTGTATAAGAAGCGCCTCCTCTAATCGCCGTATCGAACCAAAAAAGTGCTGCGTTTCATAAGCTCTGCTGTCCAGCGCTACCACATCAAACTGTTCAACGAAACATTGTAAGGTAGATCCACAAAATAAACGTTAGATTTTTCGTTTCAAACAATTCTGTGTTGATACATATTATTCATGTTTACTGTTGTTAGCTTGGCAGCACTACAAATGTATCAACTGTCAAGAGTAGAGAAAAAAGGAATACTAGAAAATTCGTTCGCTAATTAGGGTGATTCAACGCCATGAGGAATATGTTAATCAATGCATAAACACAGTATTCGCACCGGGACCTGCTATCTTAATTTATTACAAGCTTGCAGTTTTATGAAAACGCTGTCTAATTGGCCATTGTTGATCCGGATCGTAGGTTTTGATCTCCGGATCAACTGAAAGAATGTAACCAAACCAGGTGATTTATAAAGAATTTCCGTGATTTTAATATGGGGGCGAAATACCTTTAAACTGGAGTCCGAAATGTGGGCTTTGATATGCAAAAATCGCTAGGTCTGTATCTCCATTATCTTCAGAGTAGATAGATCCTGAATATCGAAAAGGGCGTTTAAGATCAGAAAAAGCAAATTTTTCAACATTTGAAATTTTTTATTCGAAACGGGTGTCCTAAACGGAAAAAACTCTCTCTAGGTCATTTATAGTACTCGTTTAGATGTACAAAATGCGTAGCGCAAATTTTCATTTTTCTTTGGCATAGAAGAGATATCGGCGTTCCAACGAAAATTCGCAAGTTTTCTAGTTTGTCCTTTGAAAATTTCTAGAAAAAACTGAGACGCGAATCGAAAAAGGGGCTACGCTATAGGGCCCGCTCATCATTTAGCTATCGAATGAGACGACATTTTTACAAATGGCGAAAGTTAGGTTCCCTGCAAAAAACTAAATTTTTTTCAACTTGACTTTTCAATCGTTTTTTGTCCTCATATCTCGATGGTTCGTACTCGGTCGTAAAGCGCCGAGTTTCTAGTTTCAGAAACAGTATCGCTTTCTACCTAAACATAACGGCAACTCGGAAAAAAACCGAAAAATCGCACCGACGTCAAAACGTATATTTGTTCGCTAGCTTGAGAGGTATTTTAGAAAAAATTGAGTATATCCAATTGATCCATTACTACAAAAATTCCTTCTCATAGGTCTATCATGATCCGGATCAAGATTTTACATCCCCCTGGTCAATAATAAAATCAGGTCTTAGTGTTATATACCTAAATATGCTTACTAAATAAATAATTATTAAAAAATATGTAACTAAATACATAATGTTATATAAAATGGTTATGTTCATTTTTTCGTTATTGTTCCTCATTTTTTATAAAATAAAGTAATATAATTAATTCCACAGTGGTGGCTCCTTTTTCTTTATTTTTGACTCTCCAAGGTCGCCGACCGCTGATACAGACTCTTATATTTTATATCGAATAACAACCCAGATTGTTAAATAAATGTCTTCACTATAAAATTTCGTTAAGTTTTAACATAAATATCGTAATTTTCACATATTCCGCTAAAAGCGGAAGTTTTCTTAAGCAGCGTGTTGTAATTGTTCCCCCACAAAAATAGTGATAAACGCCAGTCCGATGAAGTGTGCAACTCCGTTAAAAAACTTTGAAAACCACCAAGATGTGCTTTTCTGATTTATTGTTGTATTTTGGCAAGTATTGCTTCCAGAATAAAAAGCAAAAAGCTGTTTTGTTAAATTGGCTTTTATCAATTATCACAAACAATTTCAATCGCTGTTTCTGATCGATATTTCAGATTTGATTGTGTAGTACTTGAAATTGCATAGAATCCAGAATGTTTTACATGTATAAAAACTCTAAGACCATCTTCTCCCCTTGAATCATAGTGCCTTGAAAAATTTGGAATGTACACTGCTCGCAACTCCATGAAGGTTACCAGAACTTGGAATTAAATTTGTTCTTGTATGTCGACAATGTTTCGTTTTTTGTCACATGAAATATTTAACTATGACAAAAAAATCGAGCTATTTGTTGCGTGAGCCAGTAGACTACGCAGTCGAGTAAGTTTGCGAGCCCGCAAGACCGCGGCTGGAACTGTAGGCAATTTTAGGTCCAAAGAAAGCCACGACAACCAATCTTTACGCACTTCCTTTTCTTCGCTCTCCACTTTCGTTTTCCTCTATTTCTCAATGACTTTAATATCGGGTAAACACACCTGACAGACCGACAGTACTTTAACTAAAAGTAAAGGGCCTACGATCCTCTATGACTGACAATGACGAACAGAAAAAGCAGGCAGTATTGTTTAAAAATTACGCGCATGGTAACATCAGCTTCGTTCTGGTATATTGCGCCATAATCAGAAAGGAATTTTGCCATAATATGAAAAAGAAATAGGAGCACTGATTAACAAGCATAGTTTTTGATACCAGAAAGTCATATGAAGAAAAGTTTCTCTATCTCTCTAATTTTCTTTCCTAAGAGTGCTTACGTTCCACCAAGCACTTATTTATAGAGAAAAAAATCAATTGAAAAGTGACTACGTGTAAAGTCATTGTCAAACATGTTTCAAAAAACGAAAAGAGAAAGAAGAGGAATGGAAGGAAGTTGGAAAGCAAAAATGAGGAAGATACTATCTTAAGATAAAGGGCAAGATGCTTAGTATATTACCTGGGGAATGGAAGTAAAATTGCGTTTAGGAACACTCACATTTACAAGCGCTTTCCTCGTAAGGTAAAAATAAATATAATGATATAATAATATGGTAATTTACGCAGCTTTTAGAGCTCTGTAGTCATATGACTAGTAAGAGCTTGCACGCGTTTTGCGTTGCAACTCTTACAAAGAACATGGCCGTCTAATGGATAACAACCTCTGCCCTCCGCTTCTGATGATAGAACCAGCCCACAATCCTAAAACAAACATTAGGATTCAAGCAACTAACGTTCAACAATGGCAACAAACATTTTGTCTGTGAACAGTGGAAATTCTTAGAGACGAAAATTTTATTTTTCTAAATATCTGTATGTTATGTAATTGTTTCACTTTATCTCATTGCAAATTAGGTATTTGCTTACATACCTCACATTTGTAGCATTGGATGTGGAAACTGTGATCTAATGCTACCACCCTTACAGTCTCTTCTTCCCCTGGTTCTGGCATTATAGGTTGCTTACATACCCAACATCTTGGCGCAAATATTCTAAAGACAAAATCAACTCGTTAGGAAAACTCGTCTTCATTTAAAAACACTATTTTAATGTACAGCTATTGACTACACAATTCCCAAGCAAGGATATGAAATTGGAATAAGAAAATCCAAATGGATACCAGATATCTTCGCCGATTGAGGAATACTCGTACCAACATTATGAGATAGTTATTATTTCAGACTATTCCGTAATAATTGATTTTTATTCTTCTTGAATAGGTATGAGATAAACTGAAAATGTTTCTTTTTATAGGGTGATTTTTTAAGAGGTATAGGATTTGATTTTCAAAAAAAACACAAAAAAGTTGAAAAAACGATTAAATCTTTATTTGAGACGATAGAACGGTCGATATAATTTAATGTTTAAAGATTATTTCATGTAAATATTGGCCGCGGCTCCGCTTTAGATGGCCCATGCGCAAGGTCCAATTTTGGCACTCTCTCTCCAACATATCGGCCGGTATCGCACGAATAAATGCTTCAATATTGGCTTCCAGTGCGTCAATCGTTGCCGGTTTATCCCTGTAGACATTAGCATTAACATGGCCCCCCAACAAATAGTCCAACGGCGTTAAATCACACGATCTAGGCGGCCAAACGTGAGATAAACTGTTCACCGAACTCACCTCTCAATAGGGCCATTGTTTCATGTGCGGTGTGGCATGTGGCACCGGCTTGTTGAAACCACATGTCAGCCAAGTCCAGCTCTTCCATTTTGGGCAAAAAAAAGTTTGTTATCATCGCACGGTAGCGCTCGCCATTCACAGTTACGTTCCGGCCATTGTCGTCTTTGAAGAAGTACGGCCCGATGATGCCACCGGCCCACAATCCACACCAAACAGTGATTTTTTCGGGATGCATTAGTAGCTCTTGCAATGCTTCTGACTGGTCTTCACTCTAGATGCGGCAATTTTGCTTGTTAACGTACCCATTCAACCAGAAATGAGCTTCGTCGCTGAACACAATTTTTCGATGAAAATGTGGATCTTCCTCCAACTTTGCCAGCGCCCATTCACCAAATTGGAAACGTTGTAGGAGGTCGTGTGGCTTCATTTCTTACACCAGCTGTATATTATAAGGTTTTACACCCAAATCCTGTCGCAAAATTTTCCACGTAGTGGAGTAACAGAGGCCCAATTGCTGCTTACGACATCACTAACACTGGCGGATACAGCCGCAATATTTTCTTCAGTCCTCACTCTACGTCTGCTTGTTGGCGGTTCAATGTCCAATAATGTAAACTGGGTTCAAAATTTAGTCACAAGCTTCCGAATAGCTCCCTCAGTAGGCCGACCAAATTGCCCATAAATTGGAAGCAGTGCTCGATGCACTCTCTTAACCAAGCATGAATTTTGATAGTAAAATTCAATAATTTGCAAGCATTGTTCGTTCGTAAGTCGATTCATGGTTAAATTATAGACCAAACTGAACAAGTTTGACAATGACATAAGACACGATTCACGCGTCATCTGTCAACAACAGTGTTGCCAAAAAGATACTAGCAAAAAATCACCCATTAGATCAATGCCGAACGTTTGGTTGTATTTTGCACGTAATTTCTGAAATGAACAATTTATCAACGAACAGTTTTCAATATCGTGTAAGTGGTTTAATTCCTCGCATTCTGCAAGATCAAGTACAGTGTTGGACAACGACTCTTGAGTCTATAATCACTTTAAAAAGTAGCAGCGGATAAGGTACCCGAAATACTGCAGATGCTGTTTATTCAAAAGTATTAGGCCTGCGGGAAAAGGAAAAGACGTGAACGTTTACTCACTTGTGGAAATCTTCGATGCAATGTACTTGATTCGTAGCATCCACAGTGAACGGAATGCCGTCGAGGCTTTTACCGCATACTACGCAGCAAAAGCATTTTGGATGGTATGGTTTTCCTGTTGCCCGCAATATTCTGTCCAATATGGGTTTCTGGCAGACGCAGCATTTTTCTAGCGTGTTCTGGAATAGAATACAAGCTGTTATCGTGAATCAAGTTCACACACACATGGTCTGATTAATTCCAAAGTCCCTTTTATGAATACACTCACCAAATAATCTTCCTCGCAATAAGGATTTCCTTCTAGAGCGTAAAACGGTTTTCCTTGTAAGTTTATTGCACACTGGTGGCAGGTGAAGCATTTTGTGTGGTAGAGTTGGTCCATCGCAGTGCAGCCACTGTTTTCCCCAATAATCTGGAATGAAAATAGAGATTATTTTTGAAACAACCCCTTCCGAGGTTCGCTTTTTAAGTTACACGATATTATTTATTACCTTCTCTCCGCACTTGACACACGTCCCGTAAACGTCCTCTTCATTATCATCGGCACCGGCATCTCCTCTCATGCCTCTGACCAGCATCTCGGTTAGGCATTCCACTTCACGTTCCTTGCCACCTGGCAGTGTCCCCCCAGCTCTGCTGCCTGTCCTCACCTGGGGCTGCGCCCCACCGCCTCCCGTCGACGCGTACAGCGAGAGGTTGGACCTGGAGGATAACTGGCTGGCTGGACGGGGGTTGATTGGTTCGTAGATGGATTCGTACGTCGAAGAGGACTGCAAAGGTTTTGGCACGCTTATACAGGGTGTAAACGTTATGGCAGTCATTTTTTTTTTATACTCCAACTACCACGAATGCCTAAGGCCTAAGCACCCATTAATAACCGATTTTTTTTTCTTGGACATAACACTGTGGCTTGTCCAACACAAGGTACCATGCAAAAGTAAGAATCATTAATATGATTTGTAGGCTCTCTCCAAACCATTGGGACAGCAAAGCGCATAGACCATTTTTTTAACCAGCTCCTCAGACTTGAAGCACATGTATTACAGCAAATGTGGGGTGCCCACTGTTTGACTTGATCACCTAGTTTACAACCGAAATAAAGCTGATATGCCTTTGTTATTAGTGGAGTAATAGACCGTCTCTGAGACGCAAAAGTCACATCACCACACACGTAACAAAACTGATCTGGATTGTTTACACACTTTCGAGACATCTTGCATGAACGCTGTCAGCCAACTGAGGAAAAAATGGCTAATATAAAACAATATAAAGTACACGAATGTATAACATAACACAATCATGCCGATTACATCATCTTTCCTTGCCGAATATAAAAATGTAGCACGTGCATTCTTGTGAATTACAGTATATTAACACTGTCACAGCAGGAACACATATAATTACCGTATCTCTAAAACTTGAACTAATATTGAAAAAATAAGTTTCATTCCGGTTTTAGCACATTAAAAATAGTAATATTTTGTTGATTTTATTTAGGATATTTTTTGGCTGTTGATCAGTGTTATTGAAATCGGTAATAGGGGGGGTTATAACAGGTCAAAAAATTCATATGATCCATGGTCAAAGTCAATAGATTTTTGTCTAAATGGCTTTATAGTTTACAACTTTACTTGCTTTATATCTTTCCAAAATCAGCACAATCTTGCTAATTTTTGTAATGTAATCTAAAACGTTTTTAAATTGGGTAATTGACAAATAAATGGCTTTAAGTTTTTCTAAGTTAAGCCAAAATTTGTAGTCAGTAAGTAATTTTCTTTAAATTAAATATTTAAAACACACATGACAACAGCGCGTCGATCCTCCATCACTCTTATCGAAACGGCAATCGATCGCAAACGGTAACAGTGGTTAGTTATTGTTCGCGTACGTCGTCGTGTTTGTTTTCAATGTTCTCGAATCAAGAGTTCGCCGACATGTTAGTTTACGGTGAAGCTCGTCAGAATTCAAATCTTGCAGCTCAAATTTATCGCGATCGATTTCGCCAACGGGTATACCCAGGCAGAAGGACATTTGTGCAAGTGTACCAATGACTTCGAGATACAGGAAGTGTTCAGCCCACTAATATTCGCACTCGTGAAAGACAGGTTCCTGTAGAGCAGGAGGAACAAATTTTAAATATCGTGGAAATCAATGCACATATCAGCACTCGGGAATTAGGCCGCCGCGTAGGACTATCGCATACCTAGTCCATGGAATCCTACGGAAAAATTTCCTTTATCCCTAGCATGTATAACGAGTGCAGGCCTTGTTAGCAAAAGGTTATTCTCGCAGACTAACATTCTGTCAGTGGTTTTTGCACAAAAACACTTGAAAATCCGGATTTTTTAAAAACATGGGTTTTAAAAAGAAAAACAATGTATCAAAATTGTATTCCCTATTTATAAGTGGATTTTTTTAATACGTTCAATAAACTTTCACACACCAGGTGAAACGCTGAGACAGTTAGTGGTAGGCCCGTTTTTTTTTTAATTGTTTGCGTTTTACGAGTACATTATCAAATAATAAAATAATACCTAAGAGCCAAAAATAACAAACTCCATCTTTATTTACACTGCGTTCCGTCGTAATTTGCGCCTGGCATTGCGTCAGATTTTATTTTACTTTAAAGTCGCTTTTCTCTAAAAAAAATGTCGTTTTGACCTCCATGCTATATGAAACTTTTTTACACCCTGTATATGTTGTTTTTCTGTAACCGTTGATTGGATATTTGCGATGGTTCTTAGTTGGTGGTTTGAATTCTGTCAATAGGGAGCCTAAAATCTGATGCGAAGGGAATTGATGGTATATCCCTGTGAATGATCCAGCTTTGCCTGCCAGTTATTCTCCATCACATCGTCCACATCTTTAACGACTGTTTGGAAAAAGGCTACTTTTCAAACAGATGGAAACAAGCTCTAATTATTCCAATTCCTAAAAAAATGAAACCCACTGAGTATAATGATCTCAGACCTATCAGTTTATTACCAATTTTATCCAAAATTTTAGAAAGTTCCAATTGACCGCTTACCTAGAAAAATTCTTTATACTTCCCGATACTCAATCCGGATTTAGAAAAAATTATAGTTCAACATCTGCCCTACTTAATCTGCAAGACAATATTTTAAGTGCCTTAGATAAGAACATGGCACTAGCCTTAATCTCTATAGACTATTCGAAAGCCTTTGACAGCATCAATCATAAATTATTACTTGCTAAATTAAATTACATAGGTCTTGACTGTGTATGCCTTTCATTTTTCGACAGTTACCTTCATCAAAGAACTCTCAATCAAGAAATGTCTCAAGTGACAATAATTCCCTCAGGCGTACCTCAGGGCTCTGTATTGGGGCCGCTTCTGTTCCTCATATATACGTTCAACTTAAGCAAAAGTATTGATAATTCTCATGTCCAGTCATTTGCAGACGATACGCAATTGCTTCATTATTTTAACCCGGATAATGTCAATAATACTACTCAAATTTTACAAAACGATGTTAATAAATTAATTAAATACTCTAGATCACAATCTACTTATTAATCCACAAAAATCTAAATTGTTATTATTTTGCCCACAAAGAAAAACATACAATGTAACACAGCTCTTGAACATTCAGATAAACAACCAAATCTTGCAATTTTCTGATTCTGCAAAAATTCTTGGTGTTGTTTTTGATACAAAATTAAGGTTTACTGAACATGTTAAAAGTCTATCTCAGAAAACCTACCTACGGCTGCGCACTCTTATAGCAAACAGGTATTTACTAAATTTTAAGATGCGTAAAAAACTATGTGAAGCATTGGTCATATCTATACTAAATTATTGTAATATCGTATACTATGCTTGTTTAGGCAATTTCACTAAAAACGTTATTCAAGTTATTCAAAACAATTGTATACGATTCATTTTTGGCTTACGTAAATTTGATCATGTATCAGCGAAATATCCCGTTCTAAACTGGTTAAAAATTAATGACATGGTCAAGTATCACTATTCAGTTTTTGTTCACAAGTTGCTGCTCACGTTTAAACCTTATTACTCGAAGGAAAAAATTTCATTTAATAATGATGTTCACTGTAGAACTCTCAGAGAAAATAATATTAGAATACCCCTGCATACGTCTACACTTTTTAAACGCAGCTTTTCTTACAATGTTGCTATTATTTATAATGACCTTCCTAAAGTATATAAAGAATTTTCATTACCTGTCTTTCGACAAAAAGTTAAAACATTATTACTCAACCCTCCAAACATATAATTTACGTAATCATTCATTTCTTTTTTATTCCATCTTTAATTCAGATTAATAATTTTTTGGTGCATCTGGGTTTGGAAAGTATGCCTTTTTCTCTTTTTTTTTAAATTATACTTTCGATGTAATGAACCAAATCTGTTTGTGGATAGTGTATTCTTTTGAACATCTGCTAGAGACTATAAGTATGGTTAAGTGTAAGAGTAGCCGCATGCTAAACTTCGCCATATAAGTCTGACATTTGGCTATACTACAATGCATTGTGGACAAATAAAGACGTCTATTATTATTAATATTTACAGTTTCTTAGATATTCAATTTGATTCGAGATGTGAGTATTCAAATTTCTTTGTTAGGCAGCACTTTAAGACATCGAATCTGTATGTTTTTTTTACAAATGGGTAGGGAAGACATACTTTAACGTCGTCAAGTGTACATTTTATGATTTAAAATCCCATAGTCGTGGTCTTTATTTGTAGTTTTTGACAGCATTGTTCAATATAATCAATTATTGACCATGACCGGCAAAATCGATTTTGATCCGGCCATTTAACACACTGGTTCATACAAACAAAAATAATGCGTGATGAATAATGACCTACTTTCCAATCCGAACTCTGTTACAAAATATTTAATAAATTAAATACGTATCCGGTATTTCCTACCTGCGACATACCGCCATAACCATAAGATGAGTCTGCATCCGGAGGCTGGAAAAAAGAAAATGGGTATAGATAAAAATAAGATGAAACTGATTCCAAATCATATTTTGCGGATTTCATCAATTGTGGAAGTTTCAAATAGCATTGAAGTCGATTGGTGAAGAAAGACAAGAGAATTTAAAAGTGATTCATGACGGTTTAATACACTGCTGATGCATCATAATAAACAATAAAGAAAGAATGTTAAAGATATATTTGTGAAAGTCTAGCAATTATTTAATCTACGTAACTGCATTGTACGTTTGAAATACATTTGAAGCTCATTAAAAATTGCTTATCGTAGAAGAGGTGCCACACAGTACTTAGAATCGCGTTATCTTTTTAAAAGGCTGCTCGCATTGTCTGTTTTAGTGGTATCAGTGTTAACGCTTCATGAATCAGAACCTTTTATTTTCTGACTATGAGACACAGATATCGTGAAAGCGATAAATATCGAATGGATGAACAGGTATATTTTTTAAAGGTGTGCTTTGGCGGCAAACATCAGTACACTACAAAACTTGCAATTTTCTTTCAAAATTCTTAAGCCTGATCAAACCCCTATGAAATAAATTCCTTTATAAAATTCTATGTTACTTAAGTTTTAGGGTACATTTCCACAAAAATAATTAAACTTGACTTGCCTGTGTTCCGATACTGTAATTATGATAATCCTGTCCAGGCTGTGTAGCTCTCCTCAGTTCACTATAGCTGGAACTGACTGGAGATGGAGGTGGTAGTAGGTCATCGGGAGGTGGCGGTAGATTTGTATTTACTGTACATGGAGCATAGTCAGCTAAACCTGAGGTTAAGTCTAACGGAGGGGGTGGCAAATCGTCTAGAAGAAAAATATGGGAAATAAGAGATGAATCCCAATGCCAACGCTCTCAGGATGTACACTGCAATAGATGTTGTATGGTGTATGCCATTTTCAGAAGTGGGATGAGGCTAGAACTAGGTAGCAATTTAGACACAAAGTAACTTCAAACTTAGGTTTACAGTGTATGATAGTTAAGCTAGATATTGGTCAATATCACTAATGAATGAAATGGCAAAAAACTGCAAGTCTGGAATACTTACCCCCATTCGTATAAGCATTACTGTTAGGAGGAAGGTTGCTGTAAACATTTCCACCTTCTCTAGGAGGGTGTATAAGATTACTGTAGACTAAGCCATCTCTGTTCCTCATTTGATTAGCAACCTACAGATAGTTAAATGAAAATGTTAGCAGCATTTGTTTAAAATATTCCGCCTGAAAATTATCAGAGATAAAATGAGAGACTATAGCATCATCTATGCGAAGTTATAACAACTGTTTCTCCATTTGCTATACTATACTACGTAGTCGTGCCATAAGTTCTGTCCCATGATAATCTCATGATAAAAATGAAACAAGATAAGATATATTTATATGAAAGATATTGTTTATTCGACAACATTTTTAGAATTCATAATCAAACAGTTGTATTCAAAATGTCCCCCCTTGGCCTTCACACACTGCTTCAATCTCGCGGGCCACTCATCTATCACTGCACGCACAGCTTCCAAAGGAATAGCTGCCGCTGATCGGATCAAATCCGCTTTCAGGGACTCGATATTACGGTGGGCTTTGGAGCAGGCCAACTGCTCTAGCAGGTCCCACAACTTGTAGTCTAAAGGATTGAGGTCCGGACTCCCTGAGGGCCAATCTTCCGCAGCAATGAACTCTGGCACATTGCTTTCCAGCCAGCGCTGCGTACTCTTAGCCTTGTGAGCGGGGGCGGAATCCTGCTGGTAGACCCAGTGTTGGTTGGCAAACAATGTACCACTTAAAGGCTTGACGATAGGATCCAGTATGTCGCTCTGATAGTTTGCCGCTTTTGTTTTCACGCCCTGTTTACAGAAATGGAGCTGAGTGACCCCTTCGTAGGACACCCCCCACCAAACCATGACTGACGCAGGGTGGTGGCCTCTCTCAACTCTCGGAATGATCTCCGAAGCTTCCTGTGAACTCCTTGCATACACTTTGTCATTTTGTCGGTTGAATTTTTCTTCTATGGTGAAGATTTTCTCATCCGTGAACAAAATCTTTCGGAATCCCCCAGCTGCGTACCTCTCCAAGAGCTTCTTGGATCTTGCCGCCCTGATGTGTCGCAAGGTGGCCGTAAGTCGCTGGCCCGTACGTCTCCGGTAAGCCCCTAGCCCTAGGTCTTGTTTAATGATGCGCGACATCGTCCGGACAGGAATCTTCATTTCCCTGGATAGGATCTTCTGCTTCCGGAGTGGATTCCTTTGAATCCTGGCTTTTACGGCTTTGATGGCTGCTGGAGTCCTTACTTGACGAGGTCTTCCGCTTCTTGGCCTGTCATCAACAGAGGACGTCTCATTGTACCGCTGAATGGTCCTAGACACAAATTTACGCGATATTTGAAGGCCGCGTAAGAGTTCAAAAATCTGACTAGCACTGTGATTACACTTATGTAAAGCTATCACTGCAATACGGTTCTCTGCCTTGCCCCACTCCATCGTTATGCTTCGAGAGATCAATACAAACTGAGGTATATGTAATTACCCGAAAAGCGCTTAATCAACTGACACCACAATGTAAACAATCGGACAAGTATTAACAGGTCTACACTTGTTTGAAAACGAGGGACAGAACTTATGGCATGACTACGTATTACTTTTCTACTTTTTTCAGAAACTGATAGCAACTTTTGTTTTTTTTTATGGAAGACTATACATTTTATCCGATATTTCTATACTGCGAGAAATTCTTAATACAGGGTGCGTCATCTATTACTTTTTTCTATTTGAAAAATCAACACGCTTTTTACGAGGTGAAATCGAATTTTTTTATTGATATATGAAGGTTGGTTTATGCCATTCATGTATAAAAAATAACATCAGTCATGTGACCACCGCGGCTTCGTTTACAGGCCAACATCCGAACATCAAAATTTTCAATGACTTTTCCCAGAATAATCGGGTCTATGGCCGTAATTTCAGTCCGAATATTGCGCTTTCGGTCTTGAATTGTCCGGGGACCATTCGCGTACACTTTTCCTTTCAAAAATTCCCAAAGAAAATAGTCACGAGGTGTTAAATCGCACGATCTCGGGGACCGACTGAAATCTGAATTTCGTGAAATTATGCGGTCTTGAAATTTCGTGTGCAATAAGGCTATTGTTTGGCGAGATGTGTGAGCCTTTGCTCCGTCTTGATGAAACCAAAGATCGTCGGCACCAATACGATCCAATTGTGGCCACAAAAAGTTTGTTAGCATGCCGTTGTCGGCAATGGCCTTTTCTTCGTCATCTTCAAAGAAGAATGGTCCAACGATGCCACCAGCCCATATTCCGCACCAAACAGTCACTTTTTCAGGATGGATAGGTTGTTCATGATATTGGTGTGGATTTTCAGCCCCCCAGAATCTGCAATTTTGCTTATTTACGTAAAAAAAAGTAATAGATAGCGCACCCAGTACTTTTTCTTACACGTACTCCTCGCATGTACCTACGATTCTTCAATTAGCATTACAAAATAGGACACAGACTGTAGGATGTACATACAAGATATGATTCGTTCATTATAATTAACACGGAAATAAATTATCTTTGAATTATTAGGTACCAAGGACATACCTGTACGTTGCTGTAGGTGACATGTTCTGGTTTGGAATACGCCCGCGGGCCTAAGCTGTGATTCAAAGTCTGTCTCGACAGTGAACACGTTGAAGGTGCATATTCACTCTGCGAAGCTAGGCTTTGTGACAGCGTATTCGTATCGTACCCTATAACGTTGCGACAGGTGAAACGGAATGGAGGAAAAAATATGAAATCAAAAAACTCAGATGGTTTTGCACTAAAAATGGTTTCATCGTTTTTTTTTCTGCAAATGACTTTATATGTGCATTATGGCAGAGTGTAATGACGAAAATGATCCAGCATCATAAAGATGTTTATCTTGAATTTGGGTTGAATAACAGAAACCGATAAATGACAAAATAATGTTTACAATGTTGCATCATTGTATCTAACGAATGTAAAGCTCACTCTTCACAATCGACCAAGTAAAACAGTGAATTCAGACTAGGTAGGAAACAGTCTCCTAAATCTAATAGTGACAGTCATGTCATTAAATTTGTATTTTTGATGTTAATTTTCAAAAATACGAGCGTTTGCAGATAATTGCGATGGTGTCATACGATTTGGTAATCTTACATAATTTGGAAAAAGCGGTTCAACCCAATTGAAAGTATACTAAGTGACATATAAATCCGAACACCCAGTTTAAATGGTTTTATTTTAATAAAAGTTGGCGAATGTATTTATCTTACTGTAAATAACAAGTGAAAAAATGTTCAGTCTTATCAGTTGGACATTGCGGTTTTTATACTGCTTTTTTTTTAATTCACTAACGCTCTAAAAATTAATATTTCAGCCGCAGTAAAGATTTTGGTTCTTGACATCCTTTACGGTCGGTTACGATGCCTAGAGTACGGAGACCTGTACGATTTCGTCAACTTAGTGAGTTTGATAGGGGCCGTATAGTGGGACTTCGGGAAACTTCACTTTCTTTTCGGGCAATTGCAGTTAGAGTGCAAAGAAGTGTAGACACTGTGGTTAGGTGTTGTCAGGCATGGCTTCGAGAAGGCCGTACGCAAAGAGCAAGGGGCACTGGACGCCGCCGTAGAACAACAGACCGTGAAGATCGCCGCCTAAGATTATTGGCCTTAAGGGATCGTTTCTCCACTACCAGGTCCATTGCAAATGAATGGTTTGCAGAACACGGAAGACCTATTGGCATGCGAAGTGTTTACAGACGAATGAGAAGTTTTGGCTTGTTTTCATACCGGTCACACTGGGTCCTCCCTTTAACTCGAGAACACCGACGTAATCGCCTTGAGTGGTGCAGACAACGATCACTCTGGGATCAGGAATGGAACAGTATTGTCTTTAGTGACGAGTCTCGATTTTGTTTAGGCATGCACGATGGTCGTGCCAGGGTTAGAAGGCGACGTGGTGAAAGGAGGAATCCACAGTTTTTTGTTGAAAGACATGTTCATCACACTGTTGGAGTTATGGTTTGGGGTGCTATAGCTTATGGTTCCAGGTCACCTTTAATCTTCATCAGAGGTAACATGAACGCGCAGCGTTATATCCACGAAGTTCTAGAACCCCATCTTTTACCCTAGCTTGACACCCTGGCAGATCAAACTTTCCAACAAGATAATGCCCGACCACATGTTGCAAGAGTCACAATAGACTTCTTTCAACATAATGATGTCACATTGTTACCATGGCCACCAAGATCTCCCGACTTTTCCCCAATTGAGCACGTGTGGGATATGATGGGTAGGAGATTGCTCAATTTGCAACGTCCTCCTCAGACTCTAGAAGCACTTCGAGAAGAGTTGGTGGTTGCCTGGAATGAGATACCACAGGAGGACATTGACCACCTGATCAGAAGCATGCCTAGGCGCGTTGGAGAATGCGTAGCACATCAGGGTGCATCCACACATTATTAAAGGTCAAAGGGCTTTAAAGCAGTGCAATAATTTTGAAATTTTTATCATTTACTTATTATGCTTCATTAAGTACTTGTACAAAATTTTATTAAAATAAAACCATTTAAACTGGGTGTTCGGATTTATATGTCACTTAGTATAGTTGTTTCCACTGGTATGATTGATACAACGCTGTCACTTTCGTAGCCAATGGTAGACAAATCAGTCAAAAATGTCAAAAATGCAATTTATCCATACAGGGTGCCCCATTTGTGACTCTCGTGGTACAATTTTGATTTCTACGGGGACGCTTTTTCATCTATGTATAGCCGTACAATACTGGGTGATCCAAAAAGAATATACTGCGTTACATTTTTATTTTTAGATTTTCCATGAAGTTTTTAGCAACTTTTGTATAATGAAGTTCATACCCATCTTCAATCGTTGTGAAGCTATTTGAGTTTATAATAAAATTCGGCTAACTTAGTATGATTCAGATTCATTTATTGATCCAGTTAGATCTACATTGTAGACATTGGATAAGTCGGTGTATACAGATTAAAATATAGATAAAAGGAAGTAAAATACAAATAACAATATAATAAATAAGAACATAAAAAAACCATATGATACACACATGGCAATAAATTATTTGTTAAGATCTATCAGAAGCACTGTGGAATGTGACAAATGCACCTAGGTCATAAAAACCGCAGTCCGATAGGTTGTTCCGCAAACGTCTTTTGAAAAGCCCTACGGAGTTTACGTTTTTGATCTCCGGAGGTAATAAATTAAAAAAGTATATTCCTGCTGTTATGGGAGATTTTGAATGAAACGTATGATATGACACATGCCTAACTATATTATTTTTATTACGAGAGCTGTAGTCATGGATGTCAGTATGCTTAAGATAATCATTTCTGTGCTGAAAAATATATGTTAAAAGATTATAAAGATATATATATATATATATACATGCTACTGTAAGTATTTTGTGTTTAACAAATATCTCACGACAGGAGGATCTGGACCGTATTTTAAATATAATGCGAATGATTCTTTTTTGTAAGTCAAACACTCTAGAGATTTCACTAGCCTGGCCCCACGCAGTAATGCCATATGAAATGACAGAGTGTACACATGCATAGTAGACATCCATTAATGCTGAGGTGTTTAACATCCTCCCTAGCGTAAGTATTAAATACGGACTTTTCCTAGTTCCTTACATACGGAATCAATTTGCTCTGTCCATCTTAAATTGCAATCAAAGCTTACACCTAAAAAAACAGTTTTTTTGGAAGTTACAACTGTCTTGCATTGAGGACTGAAATTAAAATTTGACGGAATTTTTGGTTTCATAAAATATTTTGTATTTATTATTAGTCTGTTTTTGAAGCACCATTGACTGAACTCATTAACCGAATCATTAATTTTTTCTTGAAGACGATCTTGCGATGAGTCAGCTAAAATGATATTTGTGTCGTCTGCATACAAAAGTAATTTTCCGTAGGATAAGTGTGAAGGCAAATCATTTATGAAAATCGAGAAAATAAGTGGTCCAAGGACGCTGCCTTGAGGTGTCCCCCAATCTAAATTGAATTCATCAGATTTTTTATCAGCGACAGTATCATAAAATTTTCTATTCTCTAAAAAGCTAACTAGCCATTGATTCAAACATCCGCGAATGCCAACATGACGAAGTTTATCGGCCACAAATGACGAACTTACACAACCAAAGGCCTGAGACAAGTCAAATTGGATACTCACTACGTAATTACCTAAATCAAGTTTATCACAAACATACTGAACATACTCGATAATGCTTGTTTCAGTTGAGTAGCCTGCCCTGAAACCATGTTGAGCATATGTGATAATAGCAAATTTAAGAAAGTAATCTTCAATTTTCATTGCAACCATTTACCAGCAGCAACCGATTCATTAATGATGTCTACTAATACTGGGGCAAAGATATCCATGTTCTGTTTTACTAAATAGATTGGAATTTCATCAGGCCCTGTAGATTTCTTGTCTGGCATATTACTTATCACAAATATAACATCATCAGTAGTGACATGGGTGAAAAACATTGATTGTTTGGCTGTTTCACCAGTAGTGCAAGAATCCGACAAAACGGTAAAATTTTTGGCCATTTTCTTGCCAATTACAGTGGATACATATTTTCCAAAAAATATAAGATAATAATGGAATGCACGGAAAAAAATAATAATCATCATCAGTGTCATCGTATGTCACAGAAAAAATTTGCCTTTCATTTCAAATTGTTAAGTTAGCTACCTAGTTGTGATAAATATTGAACACTAACTTATTCAATTCAAAATCATTTAATATTTGTTTCTCGGATGAGTGTACGTTCTATTGACATGGTGCTGGCGATATTGGAGTGACTCGAATCCCCATATTGTAGGACCTTCCTTTATTCCTGGAAAAATCTAAAGTATAAGGCAATATCTTACTTTTTTATCACCATGCATAGATGAAAAGACGTCCATCTAGAAATCAAAATTGACGTGTCCAAAACATACCAAGAGAGTCACAAAAATGGGTGCGACCTTTTCATTGGGCCGCCCTGCATATGCTTGGCTCCTAACCTTTTTTAATTCGCTGAGCCACTGCCAATATTTGTATTAGTGGCAACATCAATGAGTTGGTGCATGTTGGCGCTAAATAACTTTCACTCAACCGCCAGTCTCTTACCTTGTCTCGTTTGCGAGGCACTGCTCATGGCTGATGCGCTTCTGGGCAGATTTGAGTACTGGCTGGCAGTATCCAAGTCCCTTGGAAAGTTAGCATAATTGTTATCTTTATACTTCGCGTTAGCTGCTAGCGTTGAGGCGTTCGCGTAACAGGACTGAGACGGTGTCTGTGGAGGAAGGTTCGAATATAGCTGGTGGGTTTGGATGCGGGAAGCGTACCTCGGCTCCACGTTTTGTTTTAGGGTGTACGACTGTGGCACCTACAATATACATTATTTAATATAACGTCTTCGATTCGGCGAGCTTGAAGAAGTCAGTTATTACGTAAGCAGATTTATTACAATTATTTACCCTCCCATCCCCCTGTCAGCAAAAGTAAGCAAAGCTCTTACCCCCTCCCCCCATGCTTACGTAAACATTTGTCAATTAATGCATTGTTTTTTAATCTTATATAACGTTATAATTAGCAAAAAGCAAAGTTTTTACGATTCTTTTTTGTTTTTGTCTGTAATTGTGCCGTCACTGCATCGATTTTCAAAAACTAAAAAGTTTATTCGTCCTTGGCATAGTCGTAACCTTGTGTAAAAATTTCATCAAAATCCTATCGGTAATAACAAAGTTATAAGTGATGTTCTCGGAGAAGTCTGAAGTACTCGTTTTGGCTAAATCCAGAATCTTACCTGTGGCTGATTCTTTTTTGGCTTTGGCGGTACAGCAGGCCCCACTTTTTTCCCTGGAGCCAATTCTGCTTGATTTATCAGCGCCAATTCGGCGAGCTGTCGATCTAGGTCGTTCATCGCGCACAGCTGGAACAGAATTGAATATATCATCAATCTTTGAACTGGATCGTTAATCGAACTAATTGAAAACAAATGTATTATTGATATTTCGATGGATTCAACCTTCATGTGCATGCATAACGGAATGTGCAAAAAGCTATTAACCTCTTGTAATGTCAGGATCGGAAGCAAGCCTTTTATGTCGACCAGACGTAAATAGTGATGTTACTATTCGTAACGAACGTGTTTTCCATTTTTTGAGATCAGATGAAATCCAGTTAAGCACAAATGATTGATTCAATAATGAATGTAATAATTTTGTTTTGGCCTGAAAATACATACATTAGATTAAAGATCTGTTCTTCCATCCAATTCGGAAAAAATAACGAGCTTATTTAAACGAAAGATAATAAAATAGACACATAACTATTCCTCAATCACAATTACCCTGTCAAGCAGCATTCACTGATACCACACATGTAATACTTAAAACCCCCGGCAGCCACCAATTTTCTTTCCATAAAAAAAATTCAGAGGACGAACAGGAATTTTGAAACGTCAGAAAACGAAGTTTGTGCTTTTTGTTCTACAGTATATTCATATAAGAGATAGACCGGATGTAAACAAAAGGTTCGGGTGATTTTCACGCTAACGCCGCCGTCTCGACGTAAAACAGGAGCCCTCATTGGTCAATTCGCAATTAAATGCCTATGCCGAGCGGCAGAGCAGTCGTATCAAAGCAGAGTCACATTCAGGTTCAGACGTGTTACGTATGTCGTGTGCATCATTGCAATTTGATATTTCTTTGGACGTTTTCGTTTGTTATCTTATTAAGTTGTTGAGTTTGTCGTTGTTATTGTTATACCTTGTTATTGATTGTTATTGTTATCAACTGCTTGCGCAAAATGCCCAGTAGTACAGATACTGCCGATGAAGTTGTAAACTCCTGTAGTCCACCTAGGAAACGCTCTAAAAAAAGACACCTGAGTGCAGAAATGAAAGAGGTCATTTTGAATATATATAAGATCGAGCGCGAGGAGAACGAGGCATCAACCATCAAAGAAATTGTTGTGAAGGTTTCTCACAAAGTTGGGGTGTGTCGCGCATCAGTGTTTAATGTGTTAAGACAATACAAAAAAAATCACACCTTTTCTGAGCCAATGACCAGTAAACATCACAAAAGTATTGTTAAATCATTGGATGAAGCTGATAAGCATGCGATTAGGAGGAAAGTGCATGAATTCTTCTTTAGGAATGAAATACCTACTATAGATAAAGTACTGCAGGAGGTAAATGGAGATACAACGTTGCCAAATTTCAAACGATCAACTTTCCATGCGTTACTGAAGCATTTAAATTTCAAATGGAAAAAACGGGGTCGTAATAGTTTACTACTGGATAGAGAAGAAATTGTGCTATGGAGGAGGGATTATTTAACAAAAATTGGGAAATATAGAAATCAAAACAGGAAGATTTATTACCTTGATGAAACGTGGGTAAACGCAGGACACACTACAAGTAAAGTATGGGTTGATGATTCTGTAACTTCATCCAGGAGGGCCTTTCTAGATGGACTGTCCACCGGATTAAAAAATCCAGCAGGTAAAAACGAGTAATAGACAACAATCAGATGTTTTTCAAACCTTGGGAACAAGGTTCTAAACATTAATTCCAGGGGGCAGATAAAACATATTACAAGTAACAAAACTTTTATAACTTTCGATAAAATGCGTGGATGTTTTATTGTCATTTTCATTTGTTAGAACTTTTTTAAGCCATGTTTTTATGTGTTTTCGATATTTCAATAATTTTTTAATATAATCTTAAAATATGTCGAATATTATAAACTTAAAAAAAGTTACTAAGTTTTATATTGTGTACCGTTCCTAATATTTCTAATCATTTTAATTCATACTTTAAGCTTTATAAAGTTATAATTTGTTAATAATATTTGCGCGTATTTCAGGTTCCTGATCATTCATTTTTTAAAGGTTTATAACTTAAATTGTGAAGCGCTGAGTAATCATACGACATTCAATATTCTTTCTTTCAATATGACTAAATAATCCCAATTATAGCAATCTGATACTCATGTCTCAATGTTTTTTCGCTGAATGTGATGAAAACATTTGAAAAAGGTTCGCTTATTGAAATAAATCTACACCAGTTAGTACTTCGATTTCCAGGTAAAGGGAAAAGGCTCATTATCTGCCATATTGGCAGTGAGGATGGATTTGTTGTTGACGAGACCGTGGTGCTTTGAGTCTAAGAAGACTGGAGATTACCACGAGGAAATGAATGGCGAATCGTTTGAACAGTGGTTTTCAAAAATTTTACCGAACTTAGAGGAAAACGCAGTAATTGTGTTGGATAATGCGCCTTATCATTCTCGAAGAATGGAGAAGGTCCCAACAACGGCTTCAAGGAAAGTTGATGTTCAAAATTGGCTCTGCTTGAAAAATATCAACTTTGAAGAAGCAATGCTGAAAGTACAATTATTAAGAATTGTTAAGGATCACAAGGCGGAATATCAAAAATACGCCATTGACGAAATGGCAGCAAGTCAAAATAAAACTGTGCTCCGTTTACCTCCATACCATTGCGAGCTCAATCCCATTGAGCTCATATGGGCAGAGGTTAAAAATTATATAGCTAAGCACAATACAACTTTTAAATTTTGTGACCTCAAAGGACTTTTCAAAGAAGCACTAGAATTAATAACAGCGCAAAAATGGGAAAACTGTATTAAGCACGTGAAAGACAAAGTTGAAAAGAGAATGTGGGAACTGGACAATATTTTAGAGGAACAAGTCGAGCCATTCATTATTGACGTTGGTGCTTCAGGCAGTAGCGATGATGAAAGCTCATCAAGCTCATCTTTCCAATAAAAGATGTCGTTCATCAAATTCGGTAAGTTATAAGTAATTATAAAGCTACTGTATTTTTTAATTAATTATTGACATTTTTGAACCCATTTTGGCAAAACCTATTCAAGAATCTACTTTCTGACAATGTTCAACCATGCACATTTTTTTACGTTTTGAACGTTTTAATTTGGTTACATATTTACCTAGAAATCAAAAAATATACTAATCAATATTCTAAAAGCAATTTTAAGAGATATACGATTATTTTTAATTTAGGCTAATTTAAACGCCATTTTGAGATTATATTCGACTGTATTTCACCAAACATCAGGCGGCATCCGAAGCTGGAAATCGAAGCGAAAATTTTGAAACCCTTATGTATATTTACATCATTATATATTTCTTACCCCACCCCCACATGATCCTATATCCATCACCTATCGTATACACATCGAATTGTGCTAATTTACTACAAAGTTACGCAAAGCAGCATCTACTATCTAAAATATGTACTGCGTGACTCTTAATACGTCCCTGCCGAATGTTACAGTGTTCGATGATCACGTGGTCTTGTTTATGTCCGGTCTATCTCTTATCTGAATATACTGTAGACATGTCAAAGTTTCATCAAAATCCGAGCAGGGTCGTCCAACGATAAAAAGGGACATTGCAAAATGGAATCTGATTACCAAAAAAATAAAAAATCTGCACTAGAATAACGTCAAAAAATGAAGTTTGAGGATGTTTTGAGATGAAATCACTTGTTTATAATTGGGCTGCTACTAGGTCAATAGTCAAACATCTAATGGAAATACAGACATACATACAAAACACATAACCTTCTTTCTGAGATAGTTGGCGAAAACTAGTGAACATTCCAAGTTACCCACCATGAAAGGATTATTAAATTGAAATTGACATGAGTGGTTAACTACTGCATTTTATCCACCATGCTTATAAATCAGGAAAAGTTAAGATGAAACAATCATGTGTATTTTAGAATATATAATAAAAATGATGTTGATAATTGAGAAGCAATATGAAAAACTGATACTACAAGATTTTATTCTAAATAACACCTTGTTTCTAAAACATATGAATCATATGTTTTGATATTTGATAAACATGTGCAAGTGTACATTCAAAGAAACTAGATACCGAGTCAAGGTAATACTTGTGGTATTACCATGTAAGTATCTGATATCTTGAGATACAGTGCCTGCTGAAGGTTCCTGATTTAATAAATGCTAAAATTGCTGAAATGGAGTAATGTCTCACTTAACATAAAATGATGAGACAATACTTCCAACGGTGTTTGGGGAGCAGAAAATGATTAGGTTTAATGCTAAGGTGTAAGCTGACACCCATCATCGACACAAGGTTATAACATAATATGACACAATTGAAATCTAATAAAAATCCAAGTGAGAATCTCTCAAAAAATATTCTAAATGATTGTTTCAATACAATTGGAGAGAAATTATTATTATTGGTGAATCATTGTTTAGTACATGGTGAATTCCCATCAAAATTAAAGTGTTTCACCATTACTCCTGTGCCAAAAGTTCAAAATCCCCAGCTGTATACAAATATGCGATCGATTAATGTCTTGCCCGATGTCGAGAATCTGTTCGAAGGGATAATATACGAACAAATCATATAATTCATTGAAGAAACCAAAATTTTGATGAAAAATCAAGCTGGATTTAGAAAAAAATGTTCCACAGAAACGGCAATCCAAATGGTGGTGGAAGACTGGAGAAGAAGCATAGATGAGAAAGAATATATTGTAACAATATTTTTAGAGTTCAAAAGGGCATTTGAGACTATAGACAGGGAAAAATTGTTATTGAAATTGCATCACTATGGCTTTAAAGGATCAGTATTACACATTTTACACAATTATTTAGTAAATAGAAGTCAAAAAACTAAAGTTGGAAATATTATGTCAAATGTTCAAAATATATCGGTAGGGGTGCCACAGGGCAGTAAATTAGGGCCGTTACTACTTATTTATATAAATGATATCTCTGACATTTTAGAACATTGCAGATATATTTGCAGACGATACACTTATATCTATAGCACATAAGCATTTGGACACTGCTTTAGAACTGTTAAATAGTGATATTGAAAAAATTATGAATTGTTTAAATGTCAATAAACTTAAATTAAACACTAATAAAACAAAATGTATGTCAATAGGGAAACATTTATGTGACAATACAATTGAAGTAGTCGAGTCATTAAAATATCTTGGTATATATGTGGATAGTAAGCTACTGTTTCACGAACATTATGAATACATTATTTCAAAAATATTGAAAAAGATGAATTACTTCCATAGAGTTTCCCAAAATCTTAGTATGTATTCCAAAAAAATTGTGTATAACACTATAATTCTTCCCCATTTTTTATATTGTTCAACTATCTTGTTTACAGCAAATGAAAACATATTTTCAAAACTACAAATTCTATAAAATAAAGCTATGAGAATCATTTTAAATAAAAGCAAATATGCTAGGATTAAGTCTATGTTAGAAGAACTGCAGTGGTTGGATGTGAAAAATTTCATATACAGTGAAAGCTCTCCTTGCGGACAGCTCCTATAAGCGGACATCTCTTTTAACCGGACAAAGTTCCTGGAACCGAATTTCAGCCATCAATTTTCAATGTTAAATGCATTCCGATAAACGGACGCTCTTATAAATGGACGCGGACACTAGATTTTCCTGTATGTGATCAAAAAATCTCCCATAAGCGGACGCGAAACTCTAATACCCGGACGATTTTTTAGTTCCGCTTATTGCAATGCACATATCTACATACATAAAATTCGGTAATTCCCCGATTTATATTAGGTGATTCCCCATTTACGCATTTCGTTGGGTAGCCTGTATGTAATCTTGTGGCTTGTCTTCAGTTCAGGCAAATTCGTAGTTGATTGAGTTACGTATTTTATTATTGTAACTCTAAAATGGCACCAAAAAAAAGGATGCTCTCGTTAAAGGAAAAGATGGAAGTTGTTAACGTATTAGACAGAGAAAGTGTTTCAGTTCGTCATTTGGCAAAGAGGTTTAATATTGGGAAAACGCAAGCAGCTGAAATTGCCAAAAATAAGGAAGATATCAGGAGTAAATGGCAATCAGGAACTAATATAAATCAAAAGAAGGATTTTTTAAAAAAGGAAGGTTTTGCTATAGACAAAACATGTTTTGAGTGGTTTGTGAAAGCTAGAAGTCAGAACATTCCAATCTCAGGGCCGTTAGTGAAAATGAAAGCTAAAGAAATCGCCACTACTTTGGGCTATAATAATTTCAGTGCGTCCGACGGGTGGCTGCAAAAGTGGCGCAAGAGACATAGTGTGAGTTTCAAATGCATATCTGGCGAAGCTGCTGCAGTAGATCAAGTTGATATGTCACAATTTTTGGAGAAACTTCCGTCCATGTTGCTTGGCTACAAACCAGAAGATGTGTACAACGCAGATGAGAGTGGACTTTTTTTTCGCGCATTGCCCGACAAAACTCTGTCCTTTAAAGGAGAAACATGTGTGGGTGGAAAGTTGTCTAAAGATAGACTAACCATTTTATTCTGTGCAAATATGGCCGGTGAAAAATGCGATTTGATTGTGATCGGGTAAGCGGCTCGTCCCCGTGCTTTAAAAGACGTTGCTATTAAGGATCTACCAGCGACTTGGAAATCCAACAAAAAGGCATGGATGACCCGACAAATCATGTCCGAGTGGTTAGTCGAATTCGACCGGAAAATGAGAATCCAAAAAAGTAAAGTTCTTTTATTTTTAGACAATGCATGCTCTCATCCTCGTGATATGAAAATGAAAAATGTGAAAATTATATTTTTACCGCCAAACACAACTTCTGTTTGTCAGCCCATGGATCAAGGTGTCATACAGAACTTTAAATTTTATTATCGGCACTTGATTTTAAAACATATTTTAACAAAAATTGATGATGGTCAAAGCTTATCTGAGCTTACAAAGTCTATCAATGTGTTAGAAGCTTTGTATTTTATAAAAACAGCATGGAATAAAGTAAATTCCTCTACAATTAAAAACTGTTTTGGCAAAGCTGGATTCAGAAAAAGTGAATGTAGCTCAGAATTTGCTGAGCAAAATTATTGCGATGCTGAAGACGATCTGCCCTTAGCGACACTTGCTCAGTTACTGCAACATGCCAAACATTTAGGAGTAGCAGATCCCCAGAAAGTAGATGATTTCCTGGCCATAGACAATAACATAACAACAGAAGAAAATGCCATTGGCAACTTTTCGAGTTTGGATGTAGAAAGCCCAGGCCAACTTGAATATGGTAGTCCAAATGACTCAGAAGAAGAAGTGGAACTGGTGGACTCACTAAGCGGTTCAAAAACGATAAATTCATATGGGGAAGCTCTAAATCATATTTCTATATTGAAAAAAATTGCTAAAGATGATTTCACTGCATTTCAACATTTGAAAAATTTAGAAAGTTATTACGAAAATTGTCTCCTTCAGCAAAAGATGGTGAAATTTCGTCAGACAAACATTTTAAACTTTTTTCAACAAGCTAAAGAATAATGTTTTTTTTTAAATTCTCGTACCATGTATTGAAGCATTTATGTTTTTGTATGCGTATATGTACATATATTATATAGATATATAGCATAAATACATACTTTAAAAATGTGGCGAGTTTCTGTTTCATTTTTCTCATGATTATAATACCTCATTTCCTCATGATTATATACCCCGTTATTTATACTCTATACTTACATACTCTCTTTTAAACGGACACCTCCCATAAGCGGACAAAAGTTACGGAACCGTGAGTGTCCGCTTATGGGAGCTTTCACTGTAATTATTTAGTTCTCGTTTTCATATTCAAATTAAAAAATCATTTATTACCACCACATTTATAGAACTCCACAAAATTAAATAGTCATTATCATAACTAGGAAACTAGAATAGATTTTCATCTGCAAAATTGTAATAGTAGCATAACTAGTAAATCTATATTTCAAAAGATAGTGAAATGCAGATAATGACCACAACTGACAAAAAAATAAACTAAATTAATAATGAGTATATGCCTGACAAATTTAGTCATGTAACATTTCCCAGAGATTATCTTTTTGTTGCTAATAGAATCTGAAAATAAGAGACAATAGTATACCTTTTAATATATGAAATTTGCATATTTAGTTTTAAAAATGCTATACATTTATATATTTTTACTTACACTTGCAGTTATACACTATATTATTAAATACGGCTAAAAACCATAGAAGTTGACACCATCAAAAAATTGACATTGTAGCATTAATGCTGAATAAATCTTCAACAACAACAAAAGCTAAGTTCCTACAGAACTTTCTGTCAGTCAAAAAAAACTCGAGATTGTTTAAAATTTGACCCATTGACAACCATAAAATTTGAGCCACACAATATGCAGCATCACATACACCTTTGGTGTACATGTTCAGGTGGATATCAAAGAATGTTGAAAATGGATTTAGGAAAGTTTCATAGATATGATTCTCAGAAAAGTATGAGTCATGTATGCTTATCATATATTGTATGTGATGTGATTGGTATTGTATTGTTAATTACATGGAATAAAGCTGCTGTTATTTATGCAATTTTTGCAGTATGTATCAATGACCATTCATTTCACTTGTGTGCATGTTCAGGTCGACATCAAGGAATGTTGGAAATGGATTTAGGCAAGTTTCACTGATATGATTCTCAGAAAAGTATGAGTCATGTATTTTTATCATATTGTATGTGATGTGATAGATATTGTATTGCTGATTATATGGAATAAAGTTGCTGTTATATATGCAATTTTTACACTATGTATGAATCAGCATTCATTTAACTTCCGTTGCAAATTAAAATCAGAATTTGGTAGTGTATATCCAGATGTTTCTTCAACTATACAGTTTTCAAATCTACAAGTAAAAAATTAATAAGTCTGTAGATTACTTAATGCTTCGAAAAAAATTATTGTCACATTTAAAACTAATAACGACAGAAGATAATGCAAACATATATATTGAACATACCTTACAAAATGAGGTTATGGCACGCCACTTCACACAGTCAAGTAAAAGGACAATGGACTGGAGACGAGCAACGAGTCTTGAAAAACGCCAATACAAGCAAAAATATCCTGAAATACCACTTTCTCGGCCTTTTCACAGTAATCGCGAACACAATAAACAAATAACAAAATCCAGAAACAGTGGTACAGTGGTACCGCCCAGTCCCGCCCCTCCAACAATGAGTCAAAATTGGAGTTAACAGCGTTGCCAGATCGGTAAGACAGATTTTCCCCAGAATAAAAATCGCCAAAAATTACTTTTTCAGAAAAAATCCTCAAGTCCCACGTCATTCAGAGGGGGGTTAGATTCGGTTTGGAGACCCGGGGGAGCTTTCTATTCGCGAAACTTGTTATTTATAACTTTATTCATAACACGTCTTACATATCTCCTAGTTGATTAGTTTTTAAGGCACTATGCACAAGACTTACAGTTCAGTATCAAAAAAGTTTAAAATTTAAGTTCTTCCTAACCCACCCTTCGTCATTGGAGACTGGGGCATTGCTTATAGTCGTCTCGCTCTTTCTTCCGAGACACACGTGTGTGATAAGTATAGTTAGATCATTCGGTCAGCTCATATCAAAGGTGGGTTAGTTATGTGTGGATAAAAGCGACCATAAATACGAGATCTAGAAGGTTAAATTGAATAAACGGAAGACGCGTGTATTCGTATGAAGCCAATACTGGCGGTAAGGAGGATGGGGTAATCGGAAATGTAGTGCACACACACTCTCCTACCCTGTGCGGTCCCTCCACCACCCCTGTTCCAGGCAGCCTAAAGCCCTTGGGGAGTGGGGGGGGGAGAGCAATTGACTGTTTATGAACGACCTCTTTCTTGGGGGCCCTGCGGTTGGGGGTTTGACCTAAGCCCCGCATTAAGGTTCAAAATGTAGTGCGTGTAGAGCTGCGTATATATACACTTGCAGGTGGAAAAAAAAGAGAGAGAGAGGTGCAGACACGGGAGAGAAGAACCCCAAATAGATTTCTGATGCAGTGGCTATAGTAGATAGCCCGCCGTCACGCGACCATGAGGAAAGAAAAAACTACAGAAAAATAAAAGATGTAATCAGCAATGGACAGTTTTGCTTCGTGAGAAATGGAATTAAATACCTCAAAGATACCCAACAATTTAATTTTTTCCCGAGAAAATTATATCCCGCTAAAATCCCATGAGGAAGCAAAAATCTCGAAAATTTGCCGGAAAATCTTTCAATACGACAACCCTGGAATTAAACGACAAATGGTTTGAGGATCAAAAATTTGCAGCCAGCGTTGCCGGTGTTTTAATAAGGTCGATACATTTAGAGATCTGTTAATCATTTCAGGATACCCTTATTTTACAAAATAGAAGAAAATCGGACTGTGACGTGCTGTTGCTGTAATTGAAATTTCCATCTAGGTACAGGCGTACGTGTGATTCAAAAAACGGGTCTAAGATCAAGGGCTTTAACAGATTCAGGGGTGCAGGGAGTTGCGGCAACTGTTTGAAACTTCATACTGCAACGCAATCAGGCTGACACTTACTGACATTTCACTTTAAAATCGTACTTTTCTACGAAATGATATAAAAGTGTGTGGGTTTCATAGAATCCTTGTGTTTCAGAGAATTGCCGAAAATGGGAGGTTCCTGTGAATTTGAAAGAGCACATTTCAACTGAATCGGAGATAATCTTTTATCGACAAGTGTAAAAACCTGGGCGTCGCAAACATTTAGGCTTGGCTTTTTTAATTCTCTCTTATTTCTTCGCTAGAGTAATTCTTCATTTTATGACCGCACATCGACAATTATTGTCCACATTCGATGATCAATGGATTATTCAACAACGAGCGGCAACGTTGGCAGCAAGTGTCAATTTTTGTCCCATGAAAGTTTACATACCAAATTTGGTGGAGCGCTAGTCCGACGTTGTCATACTCTGTAGTTTATCGTAAATATTCTTTTGTTGAGACGCTAATCAACTTTGGAAAATGAAAGTGAGGGGCTCGTTAGAGGGAAACACAACGATTTTTTCATATTTAGTGTTTAAAATGAGGAATGCAAAAGATTTACATGAATGTAACACCTTACCTGTTAAGATACAGGATCGAAATATCTTGGTCATGAATTGAATAGCTAAAGAAAACTCGAATGGCGTGTCCTATCCCTTTTTTTATGTAAGACTTAATGAGATGAGACTAAACGATTGACTTCTTGTAAAGAATTTAACAAATTTAATATCAACGTAATACAAGTGTGTGATAATATTTTATTTCAATCTCATTCATAGTAAATGATTGTCAAATGATTATAGAATCAGTGAAATAAACAGTCCAGTACAAGTAATTTTTTCAAAATCTTTATTTCTAGAATCAATAAAAAATACATACAAACAGAGGAATATTACGTTACATATTTTTTTTTTAATTTGCTACACAATGAATGGATGAAAATGAAGTGACAGGAAACGAGAAACACCCATCGAAAAAAATGATAATTAGCGCCACATTTTGAAACTGCGGTAGAAGTAAAATATCTGTAAAGCAGGGCATGAAAATATTGTATTATTTTAATCAACATCATATTAGGATATACAGTTATGGAGATAACTGACATAAAAATTTGGAAAAAAGAATGTGTTTTATAGAATAAGGTTAAGGCAAATGTTCTCACAACAGGGTGATTTATAACTATATCAAAGTGGCATTATACATTTTCACCCATGATTAAGTAGGATTTCTTAAAAACAGATTGATGTAATGCTGTTGCAAGGTATTCGACACTTAATACATATATTTGTATATATGTATTTTCTGAAACCTAATTCAAACAATCTTTTGACGACAATTTGATTATACACAAAAAATACTATAATTTATTGAATGCATCAACCCTTTGACATAAGTTTATCATCAAATGTTTGTTAGGTCACAAACACTTTCAACATCAAAGTATATATCATTGTCAGAGATATTTAAGGCTCCAGGTTCATCTATCATCTATAAACATACAACATGTCAGTAGTTCCATCATAACTCATTTATTTCTGTATATAAAAAGTTGGGCATATGGAAGATAAAGGCTTTCCTTTTATTAAAAAAGATGTTTTATGTAAAATTTGAATTTCTGTCAACTTATTTGTTTTTTGAAATATAACTAAGCTTACTGGTTTGAAAATGTGATGTGACTTGTCTTTCATATGCTAAGATTTCTTTTTCATATCTCAAACAATAACTATGTATTATAATCTAAAAATCCAAATAGGCAGGGGTACCCTAGATTATAAAAGCTGTTGGATTTCGATACTTTGAGCACAAATGTTGAAATAAAGAGTTATAATGAAACATATAGTTTTAAAGGTGTCAATAAATCTAAAAATTTGCACCAGCATTCTTAAAATACAGTGATGATTTAAAAGTCATAATACTACAAGGAATGTAACATACAATACAAAAATATAAAAATATATACATGAAATGGTTACAAGTTAAAAATACACAAATTTACACAGTCAGCACTGGGCACACAATAATGAACATTTCGGATCACAGCCACTCTCACGTTTTTTATATAAAAAAACTCGTCAGAGCATTTTGTAGTCCTACCGTGTAAGTCTCTTGAGATTCCTTTTGCTCTGTTTTGAGCACACCGAAGGTTGCTTGACTTTTGGAGGACTTGATGGATCTACAATTTCAAATGGCTTTTTTGTATCTAATGGTAGCACTGGTAAAAGAGATGTACGCCGCCGTTGACTTCTCACACTTTCCTTTCCAACATTTACATTGCTAACTGCTAAAATTTTTATCTCATTCGATGATAGGGTTTTCGATAAATTCCTTTTTACATTCTGCTTTGGTGTAACCTCTGCATCAGAATAAAATCCTGAGGATTCATATCTGCTCGAGGTCATGCTAAGTGAGCTTGAGAAGAATGAAGTACTGCTGTCTGTTACATAATCACTGGAAGAAGTACAATTGCTGAGATCACTTAAGAGGTTTCTTGGCTTAGGAACGTTTAATTGAGCATTCTTGCAATCATCTTTAAATGCTCTAGGATCATTAGAGAAACTATTACATTTTCGGCAAAAGATGTAGCCACAATGGTTCAAGTTTTGACATTGTGCAATATGGTTCTCTACCACTGATGCTTTGTCACACCTTGGGCACTTGATCAGAGACTGGTTTTTGTTTAAGCAACTTGCTATTTCACGAAAATATATGTGGTTTTTTGATCCAGGACTGGCATCTTCATATCCTGAATCTTTTTCAGGTGATGATGGTGGAGTTATTTTATAGTTTTCTTTGAGCAGCGCATGTATCTGTAGGAATCTGTAGTATCTAGTTTTGGCACGTCTACCCACTATTATTGCTTCTTTAAAGTGCTTTGATGTCTGTGATAGCCTGTACAAGTCGCCGTTAGACAAATACTTGAGTATCTGGGTCATAATAACAGAATTTGAAACAACAGCGGTGAAGGGATCTTTGTTATGATGAAAAAACAGGCATTTCTTTGAATATGAAGCATTGACTTTTTGAGGTGTTGAAAATTGCCTTCTAGCAGGATCCAGGCAAGGGATTGATGGATACAGGATATCATAAGCGTCCTTGTTTAATGGTGACTGTGATACAAAATTCTTCACAACACTGCTGGATGCAGTCCTGGTAGTCTTGACTTGCTGTTTATCTGGTGTATTTGGCAGTGAACAAAACCGCTTGCTACCACTTCTACTTTTTGCCCGATCCTCGTCACTGGCAGTCGGAGTTTCTTCAAAAATAGTACTTTCTCCATGATCAAGGTGAAATTTCTCAAAATGGTTGAATAAAGATTCGTTCAAGGTACTGGAAAACGGCGGAGTTTCTGGACATGTTACCTCGCAATTATCCACGTCTGTTGCCTTTCGTTTCCTCGGATTCTTGTAAAGTTTCGGAGTTTCTGCTGGAGTGCTCTGGAACACTGAAGAGTACACATCTAGGTTAAAGTAGCAATCTGCATTCTGCGTGGTAACAGGAGTGCCTTCCATTTTTCATAAGACAAGCGAATAATTTCCAACAAGCGTCCGATTACCAGAGCATCACTACAAATAAGCGCTTCTTCAAAAAACTTAAAACTTGGACGAAAAATCCAAGAAGGTTATGCGTCCTTACGCTTATCACTCTTACCAGTGCCAAACCTGTCAAACAAAACAGTATTTGAACCAGTGTTGCCAGAGCCAACATTGAAAATTCCACTACAGGTATCGAAAAACTCCGCTACCCCGAGGATTATCGTCGGGAGGGGGTGGTGGTTGAGGTTTGGCGCACTACCATAAAACAGGTTGTGTCAAAACAGGAAAACAAAAACCAAACAGCGTGATAAAATATAACAAAAAACTGTAATAAAAAAACATTTGACTATAAAAACCAATACAACATTGCAAATAACTGTCAAACAACAGAACATTTATCACGCAGTCATATTAAAAAAATATCACAGGAAACTAAAAAATAAAAAGCATATGACTAAAGGCTATTTCTGTTTTGCATAAAAAAGTTTTTGAGTTACTTAAACTTAGTCACTGTCTGTATCAGATTCTTCTTGTTGCATTTCTGTTCTCTCTATAGTATATAAATTATTTTTGTATTTAAACTCGAAGTCTAAGCAGCAATATTTTTTTGTATTGTATCCAGTTTGATAAGTATCGCGAACAAACTTGAAGGTAAAATACGATTCCTTTTCTTTATTTTGATATATATATGAGAATGTCCACTCGACATCTGCGTTACCATAATCAAATTCAAGCGGATAACCAAATGGAAATGGTATTTACCATTTTGGGTTGGTATTTACCAATCCGTTCAAGCGAGTGTAGTTGTCAGTTTGGTTATAAGATCCGTGACGTCACGAATCAGCTGTTATATGTCATAGTTATCACCGCAAAATTGTGGTATTTACAAAACTCAAGAGTAGTTTTATATTTCTGGTTATTATTTGAAATATGACAAGTTAGAATTTTGCCGGGTATTGGATATTGCTGCATTTTTGAGAAAAATGATACAGGCTGACTTCAGTTTTACCATAAAGTGGAGCACCTTGTTAGTTATACTGATTACGGTTGTTGGGGACACTTTAAATGTAGTTCCTATGCTTAACAAAGTATCCTGTGTAGCCATACACCACAAGAATATTAAAATATGGCCATATAAACTCACTAGATGATATCCACCTGTATACGGTTTTGCTAATTTCTTTTTTCATGATTTCTGCTGAAACAATAAATGTTTTCTTTGACATGCGGAAAAATTTAGAGAATTGAAAGTTATCGTAGCTACAAAGCCATGGTTCCATCATTAAAAAAAAAATCTGAAAAAACATTTCTCCCATGAATATTATGGAAGGTTTCTTATTTAAACTTTCCATATACAGTTGTAGACGAAAAAGCACCGATTATTAAGTGATAATAAAAATAATCAGAGATTATATACGCGCTTTTCTAAAATAAACAACTTGCAACAAAACCGCGGTTCAAACCAACGCGTTCAAGCGATTCGTGTAACTGACGTCATCAACCCGTGTGTCATCTTGAACCATATTATAACCGCGGCACATAACACAGAAATTTTGGTTATTCGCTTGGATTTGATTTATATGTGGCAAATGTTAAAATTATTAGACAATGGAAATACACTTCACAGGTTGTGTTCTTACCTCTTACCACCTATTACCATCTAGACGCGCCTCCGTTGAATAAGAATTACCGACCGGTGGTTACCACTGTCGATTGGAAAGATATCTGTATTTAGATTTCGTTAAAAATATCCATCATGTGTACCTAAGTTGCAAAATTCTGCTACTTTTAACAAAAATTCCAATTCCGCCGCTACCACTTGAAAATTCCGCTACCACTAGCGGAATTACGCTACTTCTGGCAACATTGATTTGAACAGGTCACTGCTATTCTTACGACAATTCCAAGTTCAAACTAATAGCAGCCGTACCCGATTTGCAATAGTTCGACCATGGGGCGATAGATGGCGCTTCGCGCTATCTCATGAAGCCAGTATTTGTTTGAAGTAGAACTAGAATCCTGTAACGCAGTGTCGAGTTTAGCCAACTGATGGCGCCACAAACCCTCGATACAGTAAACTAGAATCCTGTAAGAGTGGTCAGTACTGTTGTAATTAAAATATGTTCCAATTTCAAACAATAGGAGGCGCTGAGGTTGTCAGTATACAGAGTGAGCTATTCAAGCGATATATCCGCAAAAAACATTATTGTCTCTAGTATATATTAAATGTATATAGCCACGTCAGAGTTTGAGAACCTACGTAAAAAGTATATTAAAAACAACAAATGTTATTAAATTTTTCTTCGCACAAAAGTTGACGAGAAAGAATGCACCTGTTGTAATTCCAATAAAATTTGAAAATGATATATGAGACTAATATTTTCGAATGAAATTTTCACAGTGTGCTTTAAACAAAACCCCACCGGGTACTATCGCGCCACTTTTTCATTTTTTCGACCAGGATCCTATTGAAAAAATCGAACAGTTGGACAAAAATAGGAAGTAAGCATTTCAGCCCACCATAAATCTTGTGCAAGAACAAAATTTTAAAAAGTGCTCCGATAGCACCCTGGCAATTGTATTCTTAACACACTGTACAATTTTTTTTCAAAAATATTGAAAAATGGAGTGGCAGTTTCGAGGTAGCTGAACGCTTGTAAATGGAGCTTCCCGCAGCGTGTAGGGAACTTTTATCTTTTCTCGTAGTGTGTTTTATCGCTGCTTTGAAGTAAAAAGTGTTGCCACTATGCGATCATCAAGTTAAATATTCGAAATTGGGCGAATTTTGGACAAAAATGTCAAAATGCCTACTTTGGTATTTTAAAGAGCAATCAGGTACTAAAATAAAAAAGTGAAAATGTTAACAAAATTTCAAAATACAAATATGAAACATCCCATAGATGCGATCAACTTGAAATTTCAGTTATTTAATGTAAAGGAACGTTACCTTATTATACGAGGGTGGTCCCAGAAGTACCCGGCCTGACCTAGAGATGGCGATAGTTGTTTGAAAAATATCATTGTATTAGAAAGTATACAACCTATAAAGCATATGTCTCAAGTTTGAAGACGCCACGTTGCTTAGTATTTATTAATACTGAACGTCTTCAGTGAATTTGTGAAAATGGAGAAAATTGGTCATCGTCATGTAGTACAATACTTTTATTTCAAAGGCCTCAGCCCAACCAATATAAAAGCTGAACTGGATTCTACTCTGTGTGAGTCTGCTCCTTCGTTAACAACAGTAAAATATTGGGTAGCAGAGTTTAAACGAGACCGTATCAGCTGCTAAGACGAGCAGCGCAGTGTTCGACCAAATGAGGTGACGACTCCAGAAAAAATAGCGAAGAAAATTCACAAAGCGATACTGAATGATCGTCGACTGAAAGTGCGCGAGCTAGCAGACATAGTAGGCATTTTTTTGGGATGCGCGTGGGATAATTTTCATTTACTATCTTGAAAAAGGTAAAACGGCCGCATTTGGTGTTGTTTCCTGAATACAATGCACCAGCTCACAAATCCGTTATTGCAATGGCCAAAATTAACGAATTAAAGTCTGAATTGTTACCTCATGTTACCCTATTCACCAGATTTAGCCTCCTCGGATTATTTTCTGTTTCCAAACTTGAAAAAATGGCTCAGTATATGCTCATACATGCATTTAACATGCCCTCAAATGGTGAAAAGACTGCTCTGAAGACTGAGCAAACCTTTCTCGAAGATTGTGGAATCCGGGAACAGTACCCGGTTGAAATTCGTGAGGCTTCTGAAAAAGCTGAGACGGGCAATCCAAAATAAAAGTACACCACAACAATGCGCAATCTCATGTCTCACAACAAACGAAGGACTGAATTCCTAGTGTTTGAAAAAAATGTGGGTACCCTATTTTTGAAACAACCCTCGTAATATTCTCACCAACAAAGGAGTCACGTTATATGACGAAAACTTACATATGATTCCAGAATTGTACTGCTACGATTCTGCCTCAGGTTGAAATGAAAAAGTTCCTTATTTATTGGTAAATTGGAAGTGAAACTACCAGTTACTACTTGATTACGGTTCTCGGATTCATCCAAACAGAATTAAGAATCCGCACCATAATATCAGTCGTTTAGAGCTATTAGTTGATGAACTTTAAATTATACAGCAACAGTCGAGCTTAATTGAAATACAAATCTGGCGAACGAATCACGAACTATAATTATTTCTGGAAGTGACTATTCACTTTTTAAGGTGAGAAGAATGCAACAGTTACCGAATATTGTTGGTAAATGTCAAGTCAGTTTTGATTTACTTTCAAACATGTGAAAAATGTAATTCATATCTCACGTCATCAATATGTTGCAAACATTTAAGCATTTTCGGCTGGGGTATTACGAACGTGACTGCCGGTTTCTTTATAGATATTATATTAGTTTTTTTGTGATATTATGTATGCGTTTCTACAAGATGTTAACTTAGCACTAGCTGATTGTACACTTGTCGTGTACTCGTTTCGTAGCTGCACGTGTTGCCTAAATGTCATGACGCTTCCGCTATCAATGTTTGGCTCTGATTTAATGTAACATCTGCTTCAGAGATGGCCCTATTGGATATCTGCGTTGTAAGTTGTATACTATAACTGGACGGAAACGGCAAATACAAATCAGTGCCTATAGATGTGATGCAGTGCGAAAATGTTTTGTATGTGATGTGGCTTAATTACACACAACGTGGGTACGGTGTTGATTTCCCATGGTGCTTCTCAAAGTATTTGAGAACGCACAAAAAAAACGGGTAAAATGTATAACTATGAACATAACCTCTATTCAGAAAAAACAATGCACAAGGAACCTACGCTGGAAAGGGAAAAGGCAAAAATTGTCGAAATCGGAAACTGCAATACGTATATATAAGGTTGTCCAATAGGGACGCAGGAAAGTAAACGTCAACTTGACATAGACGCCATCTTTGTTTTCTGTCACCGACATGTCATT